TGGTACAAAGATCGGCATAGAATGTGAACCCACGCTGCATTATTGCGATCGATCTGCAGTCGTTAGATTATCGGCCAAAGTCAGTAGGTACTGATTCGACTCACATAGTTCAAGACATAAATGAGGACGAGGATGGACATCCTGAGGTCTACTTTACGAAGCAGACTTTGTTCCACACGCTGTCTGCCCGGAAACTCGTCGTGAATGGCATTCTGTGAGGCGATATCACTGTCCAGGCTGCCCTCGCGTGCAGTATCAATACCATCTTCACATGCTTTACTGGAGGGTCAATGACTCTGTTTGACAATATTCCTCTTGAACTCACGCAAACGTTCGTATGCAATCCCGCGAGAAGTTCTGCTCGACATATGAAATGGTCCTGGATAAAGAATGACAGTAAGTAAGAATGGCCTGAGAAATTACAATGCATGCCGCTAACTTTGGATCTGGTTGTCCCAGACAACGAGGCATGTACTAATTCAACCAGCAACGTTATAGAAATCTCTGAGAGCAGTTCTGACATATTCTCATAGGACCCAGGCTATCGTAGCACTCTCGTTGAACGAGCCGTTCCGAGCTTAGTAGCTAGTAGTAGCAGGCCGAACTCAGTATTTCAAATACGACTTCTAAAATTACATAATCGGATGTAGATACCATATTTAGCTCACACGAGGGTCAACTTTCCAGAAAAATATTATTATATTTCCCAAGGAGTTGCGCTACTATGGAGGAGCGGTCCGACGAGCCATTTTTCAGGCACCTATGACCATCACAACTTCGTTTATCGTAGGTCCTTTGGATTAGGTCTATACACACGTGCACACATGTTTTCAAGTTATAGCTCCTGCGATATTCGCTGTGGTTTCTTTTTTCCTTGAAATTATTTTATTTTATTATGGTATGAACCTATATGCACCGCCCACTGTTTCCCAGCAACCCCCGTCGAACAGCGAGTACTACAAGAGATACCTAAACCCTTTGGACAACCCTAGAGCATGCTCTTCGGCCTCAGCAGCTTCATTGCATCGAGAAAGGTGCTTTCTAAATGCCCAGCACATCGCAATAGACACGGTACTTGTCAGGATACAAATGAGATATGAATTCGCGTATGAAGGTCCCCAACTGGATGGCCAGAAGTACCTGCGATGGTGTGAGTGGGAATACAGAGTCACGAGCCAGTTGTAAACTCACGATGAACCAATGTTGCCAAACGTCGCCATCGAGTTGATAAATGCGATGGCTGCAGCGCGTTTCGACCGCGATTGGGAAAAGGTATTCAATACCCAAGTCAAAAAGACAACATAGGCAACTGAGGATTGAGTCATAAAGAATCTTCACGAGACCCATTAGCCCGCAAAATTGCAGAACGAAGACTGGAAGGTTCGTACAGTGACAGATATCGAACGGCCGTATTCATGGTAGACATGGCAATCATAAACCCGACGATGCCAACGACTAGCGGACCAGTGATGTGCCAGAAGCGATCGCCAGTTACATCGGAGTGCCTTATCTATCGTTAATTTGACTTTTGAGCCTGTCGTGTAAAGACTAACCTGGCCACAAAAAATGAGGTCGCAGTCCCAACAATCCACGGAGGTGCACAGAACAAGAGGCTGATAGTCGCGTTGTAACCCATGGTAGCAGATAGCGTAGGGAAAAAATTGCCGAATGATAAAGAAGCGATCATGAAACTAAGTGTGACCCCAAGCCACCATACTTTCCAATCCATAAGAGCCTCGGAAAGACCGGAAAAGCCCTCTATAGGCTTGCCTTCGTCCTCATTTCCGGCTGCAGTGTCCTCCTCCATCCGTCGTTTCGCCAGTGTTTGCTCATCAGGCGACAGCCAGACACTCGGAGTTGAAGGAAAGTCTGGTAAGATCCAGATTGCACACACTGCAACTATGATGGTCAAAGTGCCCTCCACAAGGAAAAGCCACCTGCAGCATCTAAGTCAGCGTTACTTCTGGGAGAACACAAATCTTGCTTCAGACCTCCAAGCTGTGAAACCTAGTGTACCATCTAGGCCTGCCAAAATTCCTGACGCTATAAGGGCACTAAAAGCATTACTGACTGAGCTCCCGCAAGTAAGAAGCGCCGTGCGTAAACCCAGTTCGTTGCGTTTGTACCTAAAGAGATTTCAATATACAAAATTAGGAGGGTATGTAACAACTATACCATCGTGAAAGAAGGAATACAGCTCCGGGAAAGAATGCTGCCTCGACAAATCCAAGTAGGAAGCGTAAGATCAGAGCTGCATGATACCTGAAGTAAAGTTAACTCGAGAGTGGGCAGCACTGCAAGAGTGATAGATACCGACGTTCGTACCACACCTTCCACGACCCTCGTTAGGTGACGTTGATCAAACGAAAAATGTACACACCAGTGAACAAAGTGATGCCACCCCATATTGCCATGCAGCTTGAGAGGTATAGCGATGGCCTTTTCATGCGATCTAAGAAAATGTTGCTTGTGAATTCTCGGGGATGCTGCACAGGCATGACAGGTAGCACATACGAAGGAGCTTGCATCAACATGTACCCCACATAGAGGATGCTAATGAGTGTATTGAACTGATTCCCCTTCATGTTGAGGTCCTCCTCCAAACCACGCAACCTCGCTGCACTTGCGAACGGGCGGTTGAGCCACATTATTCCAAATGATTTCGAAGCTGGGCTACGTACGCTGCATTACTACGGTCCATCTATTGCGTAGAAGTTTTAGGCAGTAGCGGGAATACCAAGTGCATCAACTCACATAGTTCATAATGTATATCAGAACCAGGAATGCTACTCGAAGGTCCAGCTTACGGAGAAGCTTCTTCTCTACGACAAGTCTGCTCTGCTCATCGATGCATGGGAGTATGGGAGTGTCATTGCTGTTGCCAGACTCGGAGGCACCGTAGCGCGAATAATTGTCTGCGTCGAGCAGGGGACGGTCTGACATTCTTCAGGCTTGATCGTCTTTTGATGCGTCGTCAAAAGATTAGCAGCTCCCAAGTTAGCACCAGATACTAGTGGTCGTGGTGGTACTAGTAAGTAGTAGGGCGAAGCAGGCCAATTTGGCATACCATAATGTGCTAGAGCGGAGTGATATTCGCCGTTCCGTCGAATTCAAAGAAGTAACGACCCTTGCTTTGCCTACCAAGGTTTAGTCTGGTTTAGTACCACGCTATCGTATGGGTCGATAAGTGATTTGTTGATAGTGCTATTAAGTAGGGTTTCATTGCTGGGAAACGTATCACAGGCCCATCGGCATCCACCACGGCTCAATTTCCCTCAACTCCTGGGATTTGCTGATATGATACCCAACGTACCCCACAAAGCACTAGCACCGATCCTATCCATCTATCGCGATTATGGCAGCAGTAATCACACTATACCCTACAGTGACCCCTCCATCCTACCACAGAATCGTCTCCCCAACCTTGAAGATTCCTACAGATACCCGACGACCAATACCCGTGGGTCTCCTGGCATGTCAACGTGAGCATCGTGGCCTCACACTCAGACATTTCCATCTAAACTGAAGTTCAGGCGACCCGCTCTTGCGCGAACTGGAAACATCGATTATCAGCTGCACGATCTCACAGCCTGCTTCCTTTCCTAGCGTCAAGAAAGGAAAGAAGGCATCGACACCACCATCGGCCGATCAACCTACACTTGAGGTCATACTGCATGATACTGTCATCTTTCCGGAGGGCGGGGGTCAACCGTCAGATACAGGTATAATCAAAACAGCTGATGGACGTACATGGGCGGTGACTCAGGCCAAACGACACGGTGGACATGCAGTTCACTACGTCCGGGCTGATCAAGCTGAAGATGGTCTTGCTTCCCTCACTCCTGGGACAAACGTCACTGTTTCTCTCGGAGAGCTCGATTTCGATCGCAGATATGATCATGTACGTACCTAACTTTTTCATCCTAGCAAAATCATCGAACTGAAAACCCAATAGATGTCCATGCACACATCGCAGCATCTCCTTTCTGCGGTGCTCGAAAATCGTCTCGATATTCATACCCTTTCTTGGTCGCTCACGGCTGCACCAGCACCCTCTTATGTCGAACTCGCCAGAAGCATGACCACGGAGGAAATCTTGGCTATACAGAGCGAAGCCAACAAACTCGTATTTGAGGGACGGAAAGTCCACGTGGAAGTGCAAGAAATGGATGATAAACCACAACCTGCGGTACCTGTATCAGAAAGTGGTCGCGCTGTAGGCAAAGGCGTTCCGACTGACTACACTGGAGGCATCATGCGAACAGTAATCATCGATGGAGTAGATCGCAGCCCGTAAGCTCATCCAATCCTGGCGGATTACTTGAGAAGCTTGACATCAATGTTACAGATGCTGCGGCACCCACCTTCCTACCCTTCACAACCTTCAACTTTTCATCATACCCCAAACGGAGACTCTTTCTAGGTCGGCTACCACGTCTGCTCGCCTGTATTTCCTCGCTGGACCGCGGCTTATCACCTACCTCACATCTATGCACTCCCAACTCACTGCTGCTGCTGCCACGCTCAGCTGTGGCGCTCCGCAAGTCCCAGATCGTATAGGTCAAGTCGTGGATGAGCGGAAAAGAGCTGAGAAGAGAGTCGATGACCTTGAGTTCGAACTTGCAAAACATGTCGCAGGTGACGTTTGGCGAGAAATGAAGTCATCTGAAGCAGCCCTATTTGTCAAACATGTGCACCGGACAGATGATTCTGTCAATCCTCTCGGATTTTTGTCAGCAATAACTACTGCTTTCGCAAATATCATTCCAGCAGAGCAGCCGTTCGTGCTGGTATTTTCGTCTTCTCCGTCGTCCCAGACAAGCGCGAGCGCAAGCGTGCTGCTAGTCTTCGGATCAGACGAGAAATATGTCAAGCTGGCTGGGGACTTGCTCAAAGGCAAACTGAACGTCAAAGGAGGAGGTAAGGCACGAGATGGAGTGGTAAATTTACTGGCGTTTGGAGAGAAGGCCGCGAGGATGCTGTAGTTTCCGAAGTCCTCCAAGGGGTTTCGATGTAGAATCCATACACTCTCTAGAATATTACAAACAAGATGATCTAAAAGAAATTAATGTGCATCCATAAGTTACCTCCAGAAACCTATTTATGAGCCGGATCATCACAAGTAGCATTTGCATCTACGCTGTCCTCAGCATCAGATGTGCTACATAATTGTTCTATTGCAAGAATATCAGTGTACTTCGATGAATAGGTCGAATAACACACCGCGATTCTCTTGGAACAGACCGTTTATATCCGGCTCTGCATGCTCTTCCTCATCGTCAGACTCATCACCACCATGCAAGTCAACATAACCCCAAATGTCATCCAGGTCTACTTCCATCTCTTCTACCTCAAGTTCGTCGTCGAACTCATCCATCCCGAAAAAGTCGTCTTCTTCATCTTCATCGTCATCGGGAAAGTATTCGTCATCAGACGATTCTGCGTCCGATTCCGTGTACGGTTTTATATCCAGAAAAGGATGTCGACACGTTGGACAACTGCCATGCTGCAGATAGGAGTAGATGTTAGCGGAACGCTCGACTCAGTCATTTACCGCTACAAGAAAGCACTCACAAAATTTCGTATCCACTCTGATAAGCTGGATGCGATAGTAGCTCAACAGAAAATAATGAAGATTTGAACGAAGATTATCACGTACTCCTTCCGACAGAACAAGTGGCCACAGCCCACTACCTCTGTCACACCACCTTCAAATTCTCCTTCTCCTTCCTGAGGTATCTCGCCTGAAAGTATAGAATCAAAGGGAGTGAGACATATGGCACAGGATTCGTCCTTTGGAATGGCTGAATTATGCAACACAGGAAGTTCGTCCAAGGCGTCTTTGACACGTTGGAAGAGCGCAAGATGACGCTCGGAGTAGACTGGAATATCCCTGTTGTCGTCCATTGTATTCTTCTGTCTAAAATGTGGAGTCGTCACGTCTTTGTCGACCTCGAGGAGATGATGCTGGTCCCAATCTGATCCCGTCAACAAACGCGCGTTACGCGCGACATCATCACGTGACGGTAGGCACTTATGTAGCAAATATGAAAATTCAAAATTCAAAAGTAGTACTCCCGGAACCGGCGAGCACCGCGTGCTAAGTCTTGAAATATTGAAGTACTTCCCATGCAGATAGGCTCAGATGAGAAACAAACCAAATAACAACTCTCGGGTGGCCTCTCTCCGCCGCCAAGCTTGTGACCGGCTCTCCGTTATCGCTTTTGTCGGATGTCCCTCTTGGCAATGTCCCACCCATGGCCCTTTGAAGTGCTTTAAACATCAAGCACGGAAGACAATCCAGTGGTCCGGCTTCCCACTACTATTGACATGTCAATAAGCAAATATTCATGTTCTGCGTCGCTCCCACCCTCAAAGGGGGGTGTGGATCCCGAAGACATCGATCCTGACGCGGAATTTGGTGGTTCAGCGGCACGCAAAGAACTAGAACGCAAACTCTTGCGAAAACTTGACCTTCGCATGTCGATCCTGGTACTTATCTATATCCTCAATTATGTGAGTGAATTTGTGTCAAAACATCTTTTCTCCATCTCACTTTTGTACGTACCAGGTCGATAGAAATAATGCTGGGTACGTCCCTTTCATGCATTCCTGATATGTCAGTCACGAAGAAAAAGTGCCGCACGCTCCCGAGGGCTCGTCGCCGACCTTCATCTTACTGATCAGCAATTTGCGACGTTGTTGTCCATTCTCTACGTCGGATACATTATCATGCAGATTCCGTCTAACATGTTTCTTAACTTCACCGGCAAGCCGTCACTTTACCTGCCTGCTTGTATGGCTGTTTGGGGTATGATATCAGCACTGACTGGAATTACGACCAAGTATGACGCATTTTCTATGACTGAAAAATAATTAACCAGTCACTTTTAATAGTTTTACCGGAGCCGTCATAACGCGTTTCTTTCTGGGCTTCGTAGAAGCAGCCTTTTTCCCTGGTTCCCTATTTTTAATTTCGAAGTGGTTCGTGAGCAATCGATCTTATCAATGGATAGCCTCACATTTTATATACAGGTACAAGAGAACAGAAATAGGTTTCAGAACCGCAATTCTCTACTGGTAAGGGGGCCAATTTGCGGAAAGATCTTTCCATGACCAGGAACATCGCAGCGGAAACATCATTAGCAATGCCTTTGGGGCACTCCTCGCATCGGGTATTCTCGGTGGCATGAACAATGTCCTCGGACACGCCGCATGGAGGTATCTTGATCAAGTTGTTTTTGTCAAGGGAAAGTCTGAAACTTGTTTTTGAGGTGGCTTTTCTACCTCGAAGGAGCTCTTACTGTCTTTGTCGCAATCTGTGCCATCTTTATTTTGCCAGACTTTCCGTCAACAACGAAGTGGCTTTCTGATGATGAGCGTCGACTTGCATTGAGGCGTATGGAAGAGGATGCAGGTGTCGGTGACCAGAAAGAAACCGAGCAGGGTGGCCTTACTCACGGTCTTTACCTCGCTGTTACCGACTGGACAGTGTGGTGGTTTGCAATGGCAGTGAACGCAATAGTGGTATCATTATCCTTCAATGCGTACTTCCCCACTCTTAGCGCAACACTTGGGTATAACCCAACAGTGTCACTTCTCCTTGTTGCCCCTCCGTTCGTCTTTGCGGTCATTGTCACATTCTGTTTGTGCAGGTAAGCTTTCATAATGTGATCTAGGAACTGATGAAGAAGAACTCCCCAGGCACTCTGATTACAAGCAAGAACGCTTCTACCACATTATCGGTTCATGGATTGCCGGTATTATTGGTTTCATTATTGCAATAAGCACCATGAACACGGCAGCCCGATACGTGTCCCTGTAAGCCAGGATCTCGATTTGGGGGCGTGTCGTTGATTGTACCCAGGTTCCTCATGGCGCAGACGTATGCAGGACTCGTTGTGATGCTCGCATGGATGAATAACTCGTTTCCTCGACCGCCATCAAAGCGTGCGGTATGTGTGGCGATCATCAACGGATTTTCGCAACTTGGCAATGTTGCAGGCTCGTGAGTACAACCCACCTATCAACGTGGGATTCATTGATGAAGCCGGTTGCAGGTATATTTGGCCTTTAAGTTGGGGTCCTACCTATCGATACTCCTATGGTATCTGCATTGCGGCTAGCGGTACCGCGATTATCATGGCCTGGATTTTCAAACAGCATCTTATATCATTAAACGAGAAACTGGAGCGTGAAGAGCAGGAGAAAGGGATCAAGGAGAAAGGATTCCGATACCTTCTGTGATTGATCGCGAGGTGATCTACAACTTTTAGGCGACAGACACGGAATGCCATTACCATGACTCGCATTGTGGATATTATGAGCCTTGAGGCCTGAGGAGCAATCGATTTGGAAACGTTGTTGCCTGCAGTCGGATGGCCCACGATATCGGCTATGATATGCTATTAGCGGAAGGGGCTGGTTGTGCAACAACAAAATCGGTTGTGATTGGATGTGAATAGTTTGACAGACGAATGTTGTTGACAGTGGGAGATCAAAACCTAACGATAAGAACTAAACATTGTTCGGACTGGCAATTAAATAAATCGATATAGGTCACGCGCGCTGGCAGCACCTAAGCCCAGTACTCCCATCATCGCAGTAAACGGTAAACCTCTTTCAGTTAGCCTTTCAACTTCAAGTCTGTTTCTGTGAGCTAGATTTAACTAGCTCGTTAATTCGAGCCCGTGTAAGCTGCGCAGCTCAGCAATGAACTCTCTAACATATATCTCACGTCAATTCGATGTATTCGCATCACCACGAACTCCCCCGTCGACCCCCGTAGACGATAAGACCTCCATTCTTCGTAGGACCTCGTCCATTCGCAGAGGATCACATTCTGGTACTTCCTTCAAGCGTACGAATTCATGGGCAAATAAGTCGCTCCAGCAGCCTCATGGCTCGGACTCACAGAACCCTCCAAGACCGAAGCGCTCATATTCCTCTCCTTCAGGCTTCTTACCCATACCAATTTTGAGGCCATTTTCTCCTTCACCTCCAACAGAGGCTACCATAATACACTCCAAGTCCACGTTCAGAGTAAGAAGCGCTCTCAGGCGGCTGTTCCTTGTTCGAGCCTTTGTTCTCGCTTGGAACACCCTCTGCGCTACATGGGCGCAGGTGACGCCAGGAGAGATCGAAAGTAAGGAGAAAGAGGTTTTGGTCGACGAAAAGCCCCTGGGCGAGGCTACTGATATATTGTTACCTGAAACACAACCGTCACCAATTCCGTCCCCATCATCCCCAGATGTTCCATCTCACGTCCTTCAAGTCATCTTTGCCAAGCCGGATATCGCCACTTTACCCACACCGCCGCCTTCCCCAGGCCCTTCGCTTCCACCCTATCCGCACTCACCTAAAATCCCTGCAACCACCGTAACAGATACCGCATCGAGATCACCGACACCCATTTTGACCACTACCCATAAGACACCGTTCCATTTACCAAAGACTCTTGTTCTTGATCTCGATGAAACTCTTATACATTCGACGTCCAAACCAATCGGTCATCTCTCTAGTAGCTCCGGGCTTCTCGGTTTCGGACGCAGGAATAAGGGACACACAGTCGAAGTAGTCTTGGGTGGCCGGAGCACCCTTTATCACGTATACAAGAGACCGTTTGTTGACTACTTCCTTCGCAAGGTTAGTTTGCGCGCCACTGTCGTCAAGCTATTAGAGCCTGACTAACGGTTGTCAGGTTTCTGCTTGGTACACACTCGTTGTCTTCACTGCTTCTATGCAAGAGTATGCCGACCCAGTCATTGACTGGTTAGACGCTGGACGTGGCATTCTTGCGCGCCGTTTATTCCGAGAGGCAAGTTTTGTGATTTCTTTACGATATCTGTCTCCTCACCACCGCGTTGTCACACTTGTTCAGTCTTGTACCCAACTTCCTAATGGATCCTATATCAAGGATCTGTCCGTAGTAGAACAGGATCTCGCTCGTGTCTGTCTGATCGATAACTCGCCGGTTAGTTACCGTGGCAATGAAGGTACGCACACTTCCATCTTGATAGATCACAATATAAATGTGCTCTCGTAACAGCAAATGGTATACCCATAGAGGGTTGGACACATGACCCACTTGACGAAGCCCTACTCGATTTGTTGCCCATCCTGGATTCGCTGCGTTTCACGGGGGATGTACGGAGGGTATTAGGCATTCGCGGGTTCTCATAATCTCTCTCTAACACCTCGGACCATCCTCAACTGACTTTTTACCTCATGGTTTCAAGTTCAATATTGCCGCACCCCATCATTCTGCATGTCACAATTAGCATTTTGCACGCACGTCTTGCTGCATATCGAGCTCATAACTTAATACAGCCAGCTTTGTTACATAACTTAATATACTGCTTATCCTGTACACTATCTCAATTTCACAAGAACACAACCAGAGCCAACCGGGAAATCCTGAACAATCATATGTTGCAAGAGGCTATTATGAGAAGGGGCTTGGATATATGTATAAAGTCAGATGGGTACCCGGTGAACAGATCGACCGGGATGCAGTAGGGAAAAGGGAACTCTAGCTATCACATTGCTAGTGCGGCCTGCAGTTCCCTCAACTGAGCCTCCTCGTCGTCCTCCACCACCACAGCAGCTGCGTAAGAGGTTAGTTGATTGAACGTGAAGTTGATTTGAGGCGTCTTACGTCGCTCTTCCACCCGGCGAGCTCCTGCAGGAATGTGCAAAGGAACATGCTCTGCTCCAGCAAGGCGTTCATCGAGTGTCTCTTGCTCAAGCTCCGCGAGCTCTGCCTTGAGGTCATCCTAATTAAATCATCAGCACAAAGGCAGCCATCAAGTCAGGAGATAGACGCACCTCATCTGCCTCCGTACCAGTAGGATATGATAGAGCTTCTGCGATTTCAGTAGCAATCTCTCTCTGTTCCGTGATCTTAGACATAGTCGAGTCGACCTTATCCATGGTCCTACGAGAACCAATGTCACCACTATACGTGTGATCAGCAACGTAAGGAGAATACGCACATGTTACCATGGATCGACGCCAGCACGTCTGAAGCCTTCTTCATAGCAGCCATCGTCTCCGCATTCAGATTCGCAGACTCTAATGTGTTGATTTGTAGTTCCAGCTGCAGTCGTTGACCCGCTAATCGATCCATCTCCGATTCGCTCGCCTTCTTCCGCCGCAGAGCCTGCGTAGCCACTGTGCATTGTGTGTAGAGGATGTGCGTTGACGGTAGAGTGCGGACGTACCAGCCTTGTTTGAAACAGCATTCGCCTTTGCTTTCTTGAGTTCCTCGTCAATCTTCTTCTGTAGGTGCTCCTCCTTCTTCTCTATCATCTGTAGTTGCTGCCTTAGCCCTACGATGGCGTCTCGTGCTGCCTGTTTTGTATCTCGCCTCCCTCCAAAGTAAGACATAATGCCAGCCATCATGGTTTAAGTACAGAAGCAGATCAGAGCAAAAGAGATGCGCGCGGGACAAAGGGTAGAGCTGGCACAAGTGCTATTACTATTACTGCCGCTGCGGGCTAGCTCTGACCAGCAAGTACTAATAACCGAATAAGGCAATTCGCCTCCTCATTGCGCCTTTAGTCATCACAAGGAAAGTATCCAAAATGTTGAATTGTATGGTAGTTGAGTCCAGAAATGTCTAGATATGCAAAGGCCAACGTGTAGCAATTAAATCATCGACGACAGAATACCGCGCCCATGCGTCCAACGTACTAAATCATTGATTCTTCTTGTCTTCCTCGCTGCAGACGTATCATCAGTTTGGATGGAATACATGCGTTTGGGAACCTCACCTTTCATCATCGCTGCGATCGTCCGAGGCACCCTGACCGCTGATCACGCGCCATGCGACGCGACAAATCATCCAGAACCAGACGATTTGGATGACCTAGAAGGATTTAGCAGTTACGAACGTTGATAGGACTTCTGACACTCACCTGTAGTGCCACCAGCAAATAGACAAAGGTATTATAAGTCCTCTCAGAGTAATAATATCCCAATTCGGGCACCCAGCCCACAGAAATCAACCGCGGGCCATCGAACCAGGCCGACTTTATGACAATCACGAATAGAACGTGACGTGCCACAAACCATGATAAAAGGAACCAAGTGAAAGTGATATCGCAAAGGGTATATAAACCAATGTACCGAAACATTTTAGCGATCTATTAGGGGATGACTAATTGGGTCTGCATTATTGAAGAGTAGGGAGAGCAACTTACTGGGAGAAAGATATCATTCCAGTCCATCAATACCATGATGAGGCATCCAATACGGGTGAAATTGCAGAAGTAGCTCATGACCATGAGGAAAATGGTGAGGACATGGTGAGTCATCATTTGCACATGATCTTTCCTGCGAGCCTCGGCATTGAGAATGAGGATTTGATGGAGGTAGAAGGCGGTCTGGGTGAGATAGTAAAGCTTCAGAGGTCCAGCAAGGGGACTATGGGGGTAATTCAACCACAACTCCGTCGGTTTTAAGGCTTGGGTAGGAAGATTTCGGTGAACATACTGGAATTAAGGTTAGACATGACGCGTCAGCTGCATAAAACCACGCACAAAGCCAAATAACCATTGGAGTGTGTAGTAGATGGCCGACCAGCCTTGCTCTGCGAACCTCAGAACGCTGCGATGAATTTTGCGAGATTCGCGCGCAGACATTACGCTTTTTGGCTTGGAATCATTATTGGCATGCCCAGCATGTCCATTTCCATTTGTGATGCCATTTTTGTTGCCGTTCTGTTGTACGTGGCAGGAATTAGAACGCTTCCAAGCGCGGGTGAGTTTCCACCTAGCGAAAGGCTCCAATACGAAGATGCGAACTACGTCGCGCAGAACTGCCATGACAGCAATGCAAGTTATTATGAAGCAGCCATCTAGCACGCCAGTCTTGTAGTATGCGGAATGGTGAAATGAGTCGGGGTTGACGGGTGGAGGAGTTGGGTATGAAAGCGAAACGAATGGAACAAGGTAAGATGGTAGCCACTCAAGGGCATGATGGGCGTTCATCGGTAGACGCGTCGGAAGAGGTTCAAGTCAGCAGAAGGTCGTCAAAAATTTCATGAACAGGGTGTGGGCAACGTGCGATGATGGGTTTTGTGCCTGTTTGTTAAAGTCTTACGTTTGATAACGGAAAACGCGACTACAAACTAGTAAAGCTCTTGCGAAGCTAGAGAAATGATCCTAGACCGTGTTAGTGAAGACCTGAAAGACTTGAGAATGAAATCAAACTGAAATGAGGTCTAATATAAATCATCAAAGTAAGTAAATCGCGTTACCTCAACTCGTGAGAATATAATACCTTTTTAGGATAACAACTATCATCCTCGATGAACGCGACTTCAATGAACAGTCAGGCTCGCAGTAATCATGTCTACTCAACCAATTCCTACTCTCTACATCAACAATCTTAATGATAAAATCAACAAGGATGAAATGCGTACTCAACTATACGCCCTTTTCACCACATTCGGCAAGGTTATCGATGTCATCGCGTCAAAAGGTCCAAAAATGAGGGGTCAGGCATTCCTCGTCTTCACCGATTTGGCATCCGCAACTACCGCCATGAGAGCCTGCGAGGGTATGGTGTTTTATGACAAGCCAATGGTAACCTTGAACTTGACTTTCTATGAGAAAATTAAACCAAATTCACTTATGCAGCGCATCACCTATGCGAAATCTAAATCATATGCTACTTCACGAAGGGAAGATCCCAACTTCGTCGCTCCAACATCTGTTCATGCAAACCCGGATCTCGCTATGCTTGCAAAAGTCACTGTTTCAACTACTGATAAGCGTCGGCGCGATGAGGAATTGGCAGATGGCCAACCAAAGTCCAAACGCGAAAAGTCAGAGGACGACAGTGATGGTGAAGAAATGGAGATTGATGAAGATGAGGAACCCGCTCCACAACTCAAACCTCTAGGTACGTCTTAACATGAACAATTTTCATATGATTTCAATCGTCGTTCTTCCCAAAGCCGCCATTCCCCCGCCTACACAACATCCATCTGCAAGATTGTTTTGTACGAATCTTCCTCAAGAGGTCACAGATAGTGTACTCTCTGTGTTATTTCAACAGTGGGTCTCATTCCCTTTTTATCCAAGTCATTCACGAATATTGCAAATAGGTACAAGGGTTTTCAATCAACACACGTCGTCCAATCACCAACTCCAAATGCTGCTGGCGCAAGCGTGAAGATGGCACAAGTTTTCTTCGACTCCCCCGAACTCGCATCAACCGCAAAAGATGCCTTAGATGGCTTCACACTAAAAAAGGGCTGGAAGATGTCTGTAGCCTATATTTAATACAGTTGTAGGTCGTACCCGTGAAAATTTGTACTAATTTTTAATATTCTCATACATCTGCTTCATGCTGCAAGGTACAAGTGATCATTTGAAAGACCGTTTTCAGAACGACTCTACTTCCACTTATTTCTGCAAGGCTTGGAGAATGGCCTCTCCGATGGGATGAGCTGAAGCCGGATTTTGCCCTGTGATTAGGTTACCAGCAACGACGACCTTGGGCTGGAATAAAAGTGGATTAGATAACATACGGCCAAAGTCAGGCATAATACTGACCCCCCAAGGTTCTGCTGCTTTCTCGTATTTACCCCCAAGACTGGAGATCTTGTCTTCCAGCAAGAACGGTATATCCTGTATTCAAAACACGTCTGCAAAAGTACTAAACGCTTGGCCAAGTGATACTCGCCTTCACTTTGCCGACCTGCTCTTCCTCGACATTTGAAAAGCCAGTGAAAGCTTTGCCAGCAAAGATGGATTTGCCAGACTCGTCGGTGGCGCCAACAAGGGCACTGCAACAAAGTGTCAGCAACGTTTGTTGTAGGAACTTGTTATACTATAGCTGACGCTGGTCCGTGGCAAACAGCGGCGACCAATTTTCCAGTACGATAGAACTATAAGATCAGACAATCGCTACAGGCCTATCATACAAGAAAGTTGACAGACGTACTTGAGATGCAAGCTTGATATTGACAGGATCCACTGCCAGATCCAAGACAGGACCATGGCCCCCTACATAGAAAATCGCATCGTAATCATCGGGATTAACCTCAGAAAGCTTTTTAGTTGTCGAGAGCTTCTTCTGGACCTCGGAATTTTCAAGGAATTTGCCTATGTCGTCTGGGAACGTCTGAAGGTAAGATATTAGGGACTACTCATCAATGACCTGGTTTCTAACTGAACACCCACCTGGACGCTGTATTCATCCACAGGTGGATTGGGACCCGCAGGAGAGGCAAAATCGATAGTGAAATGAGGCGCGAGAATGTAGTAAGGATGAGCGGCTTCAGGAAGGTACCATCCCTGATCAAAAGCGGTTAGGGGGCTGATACCAAAAACAAGTGCAAGGCTCTGCTGACCGTGCTGGCACCTGTGAGAGTTTGGTTTGCAGATGTGAAAACAAAAAGGATGCGTTTTGTCATGACGTTCAGAGAGTGAGATGGATGTGTGATTTCACGGCCGTTATGACCTTTATATATCTGTGAAATTTCTCCCCCGGGCTCCAGTTCCGAGTGGAGCGGCGCCCCTCTAGCGGAGTGCGCAGGACAACCTTCGCGTGAATTGAAAATTAATATTGAATCGTTAGGCAACTCGTTCGAATCTGCATCAACCTGGGGCTCATCAAGACGCACAGGCTCTACAGACTGGGAGCACGAGGTGGTCAGGCCGAGGCTTTTAATTTCGATAAGATAAGATATGATAAGATAGAAATAACTCAAGTATTACGTAAGTATCACCACCGCGAACCTCAATTTCAAGCGGCGAACCACAGGCATCTTCGGCACCTTTGGGCACTTGGGCAGCATTCGAACGCAGCGTAATACCGTAGATCGCAGTCATCGGCGACATGTCTTCATTCTTCGGACTGTCAGTAGTCCTTCCAACAGCAAGACCATGAACTAACGCGTCGGCTTATCCAGTGGCAAGACCCGCACGTTCAAACCTCGAAAGGACGTCCCGGAGGGCACCAAACAATATCAACTGCGAAAGTATGCAGAGGCAACCTTGGTAAGGTACACTGATCTGTACTAAATGCCAGGATGACATCGAACTTTCGCATGTAATCCAGGGTTCTGGCAACTTGAGGTTGGCTGTTCGGTTACCTGAAGGTGAAGATACAAATGAATGGCTTGCTGTCCATGGTGCGGACCATCTACACTCGTCTACGACGCGTCATCGTATTCACACGAGCAGCCGTTGATTTCTTCAATCACTTGAATATGTTGTACGGTACGGTTACCGAGTTCTGTACGCCGCAGGAGGTATGGCGTTGCTGATTGCTTGCTGCTTGATCTGAAATGCCGGCTTTACTAGTGTCCCATAATGTCCGCTGGTCCGCGGTGAGCCTCTGCCTGTAACATATACATTACTTCAAACTTACTGTAATTCGGTAGCTACGAATACCTTTGGGAAGATGGTGTTAAATATAAGAGACCCACGAAGCTGCCCGCTCCCGAATATGTAGACGTATTGATGAATTGGGCTCAGAACATCCTCGACGATGAAACCGTATTCCCCAACAAGATTGGTGTGTACTACACGATACATCCGTTCTGCGGCGGTAGTTGACGAAACTTAGGCGTACCATTCCCTCGAAATTTTCGCGAAACAGTGCGCACGATCGTACGCCGATTGTTTCGTGTATACGCGCATATATACAGCAACCACTTTGACCAAATTTGTGCGCTTGGCATCGAAGGTATCATCTCATTTTACTTTCGGCTTTGATCATGATGGTTTGACCAAATTCTGTAGCTCATCTGAACACCAGTTACCGCCATTTCTTTCTATTCATAAATGAGGTGTGTCCACAATCATCGTCACAGCTGCCTAATCACGTAATTATAAACTGGCTAGTTTGACCTCGTGGATAAGAAAGAATTAGCACCCCTGGACGAGCTCAATGATGCCATCCTTGCCGAGGACAAGGCCCGATGACTGAGTCCTGTGTTTAACCGTTCACTGTTGTATACCTATCTCACTGCCTTGACGCCAATCTGTCATCAAGTTCTGAATCATGAATCATGATGCTATTACTCATCGGCTATATGCTATGCGTGTGTGGACCGTACGAAGGTGTGAAATCGTAAGCGTTGACAGACTAGGATACTATTTACGGAAGGAGTAGCTGCTAATGAGTACAGAGTACAGGTCGTGTATGACGGACTAAGTGGCAGTGTTCACCGAAGTGAACATTTCCAACTGATGTTACAAAAAGTGAGCAGTTTTACAGGATGAATGCAGTGGAAAAAAGAAAGGGATGAGTAATACAGTCGATTGAAAGAATGAGAGCTGAAGAAGCACATGCGCGCTTTTCCTGGGGTATGTTGGTCCAGAGTGTGAGATATTTCTTCTGAATGATGTTTTACGAGTTAGATAGTCCTCTGTAGTTCCGATATAAGCAGAAAGTTCCAAGGGCTGAAATGGTGGGCGTACCTTGACTGCTGACCATTGTATAATCAATGTCTTCAGCCGGTCTCGAAGTGCCTTTCTACAGTGCTCGCATGACAGCTGATCACCTAGAGGTGCCAAGGCAGACTCAATTGCGTTTGTGGACAAGTCTGTATTTGACTAGAATTAAAACAGTGCTGCTGAACACCTATGAAACATACCTGGCCTAGCATCCCAAGCTAGATATGCAGATGCAAGAGCCCAGGCTCTTGTGAGCCTTTTTTGCTCGGTGAAGTCACAGTCATTAGTGGCGGCATGTGGATGGGGTGGTGGTAGGAGGAGACGTTTCAAAGCATCTGCGCGGCCAAAGTGGAGAAAAAATAATCGTTTTAGATATATTGCGCCAATTCTGTCCGCCATCTCATCTGTCAAGGATGCGAGAGAGAAGGAGAGCAAATGAGATGAAGTTGGGACAGCGAGGTCATAGAGGTCGTGTGAAGCAGCCAACGTATAGAGTTCCAAGGGGCAAAGTGGTGCATACGAGAGAAGCAGGGAGTGCAGGGCAGAAGAAGAGCTAACATGGCGCTTGAGAGAAACGCCATAATCTGTAAGCGCTGACAATGCAGTTGCAAGAGACTCGAATGAAGGAGAATAGTGGGAACATGGCATGTCGTATATGGCGTGAAGTACGATATTGAGAACGGTAGAAGATTCCGGGACGGCCAAGACTGGACCTAGTTGGCCGGTGGTCGCTTTGGACGACAGTGGTAGCAAACCGCCAAAGTTATTTTCAGAAACTCGAAGCAGCGCGCGCGCGTGGACGTAAAAGAATATAGAGTCGGATGACAGCAGCACGACATCTGGTGGATGTGAGTGGATGTGTGCTCCAGGAAAGAATGTTGTGGACACGGAAACAAGGGTGTCTTCCTCTGCTGGTGGGTCAACCGGTGACGAGGTGAAGGAGTCCTTAGTAAGTCATGGTTAATATCACCTGCCTGACATGATGGTTCTAGTCTAAACGACGTACGGGGGGTGTTGGTACCTGCACAGGTACCGCCGAACGAGTACGTTCTGCGACGGGCCTTTCAGGCACATCAGACAATTCCATCTCCAAAGGCTCTGAGACGAACTGCAAGAGGAAGTCCCAGTCTGTGTTCTCCATACAAGTACTCATGACTGCCTTGATTGATGATCAAATTGGGTGCAGGGATTCGAAAGAGGATGATTTAAATAAAAATAGAGGTTGGCGAGCAACAAAGGGCGTTTGGCTGTGGAGGGAGATTATTAGTACAACACACGGGCGATGACGAGCGGATATAACGTATAAAAGAGAAAGGGGAACAGCAGTTCGGGAAATCTGCTAAACCAAATATGCACTCTTCGCTGAGTTTGATATTAGATGATCCAAAGCTAGGCGAAAAGCAGCCGAGATCCTCGCCGCTCTTACTTATATACTCTACAAAAGGCCAGGCCTACGGTCCAACTTAACTCAGGTCCCCGCCTGCCAGTGACTCCCTGCATGACTCGGGTCTGCCTTGGTGAAGTAGCTCTCCCCATCGGAATTAAAGAGGAACAACTGTCTGGCTTCTCTATTGGTCTGACTTAAACATAGAGGTTACTATCACCATGCTGAAATGCGGGGACCTGGCGTTAGTGATCCGAAACGGTCATGGCCATAGCCTGGAAGAGGCCTGGCTTCCGCACAAGGCCCCGCTCGGGAATTGCCAGTGTCGAATACAACATAGTCTGGAAAGGCCCCAGATTTAGAGTATGAAGGGTCGTTTTGCAAATACAATTCCAGCGGTATCGCCCTGACATTCTACTCCGCAGTATTCGAGCCGTTTAGCACGGAATCGATAGGAGCTAATATTCGGGTGCTTCCGATCCCTGCATGTTTCCAGAAGAAACCAGATCATTACGGACCCAAGCAAGCAACAACTCCCAAACTTTGGCCGAGAAATGAACCCGCTATCAGCTACCAGCCGATCATCATCGGGGGGGAAATACATAAATTGATCATGCCTCGGCTTTTCTCCTAGACTTCAGTTTATGTATTTCTTCTCGTTGGCCAAAATTTGAATCATGTAATTCCTAGATAAGTTCATGTAAGAAACAAGAGGTGTGTTATCTTTAACATGCGCACCATATTTGCTAGCCTTTTCGCTGTGGATACGGCATTCAATTTTTCTAAAACCATGTTTTCTGGCATGGTCATAGCCTCTAATTGCATCCCTGATGCAGTTATGAGCCAACTCTATCACTGCGTACCAAGGGTCGAATAACGTACCGATTCGTGCTTCTATTCGTGATACACGCTCCTCATCCTTTTCGGTCACAAAACTAATAGCAACACCACCTTTACCAGCACGTGCAGTTCTTCCGACTCGGTGAGTGTATTCTTCCGGCTCATTTGGTAGGTCCCAGTTGATGACCATTGCCACGTCTTCAATGTCCAAACCACGGGCGCCAACATCTGTCGATACAAGAACTGGGATAAAAGATGACCGAAAAAGTGACAATGACGTCAACCGTTCCCGTTGTGTCAATCTTGAATGCAGCGCGGTGCTGCGAATAGACAACGTCTGAAGTAGATGGGTAATATAAGCAGCAGTCCGAGGCTTCGTGCAGAATATGATGGTAGGTGGTGGTTGTATGGGTATATCCTCATCTGGACCGGGTTTTTGCGATGTTCTCGTTTTTCCTCTGGATTTTCCCGGTTTTATTGGCTCTGGGGTTACCCTCCGGAGTGATGCGATACTTTCTGGAGGGTTACAAAGTAAATGATAGAGATACGGCTCGCGCACGTGCGAAGGAACCAGAACGTAATGTTGCTTTAACGTCGCGACTGTTTCGACACTGTATTGAAAAAAGATCAGAACCACGTCCTGCCGTCCAAATGTACATCTTACGTTGATAACGTTCTATGCACAAAAGGTTTCAACTTTCCAGACCTCGGCGGGGCTTCAATCAAGGACTCAATTGCTTCTGTCAGGGTAGCAGTAAAAAGACAGGTTTGCCGATCGCTTGGCAGAGTCTCAAACAAAAATTTGAGTTCGGGGGAAAAAGTCGATGTAAGGAGACGATCCGCTTCATCTAATACCTGACTCGGTTCGACATGAGTGCCAGCAGAAACTCGCATAAAATTTTCACTGACAAGGAACTTCACACGAGACAAATTCCATTCGCCGTTGCTACTCCGCAGGTGGTCAACGATACGCCCGGGCGTGGCTACTACAACATGGGGAAGGCCACCCAGTTCTAAAGCTTGTGTCATCATATCCATGCCACCGACAACGACAGACGTTCGGACGCCTATTGCAGCACCAAGCACTGCAAATTGTTCGGATATCTGAAATGCCAGTTCCCTAGTAGGATGTCATAATGCGACGCAACATCAATAAATGAGTAAGCGGACCTCGTGGGTGTCAGTACTAGCGCGAATATGCCATATGGATCCTCAGATAACTTCTGCAGGATTGGGATTGCAAATGCTATAGTCTTCCCAGAACCTGTCTTTGCGTTTCCTATGCAATCTCTCCCTAGAAGCAGATTACTGATTAGTTCGACATCTATACTGATTGTTGCAAGACAAACCTTCGAGAAGGGGAGGAATACAGGCAACTTGGATCTCTGTTGGGGCTCGTATAGACATACGAGCAAGAGCAGCATTGAGAGGAGGCGCCACGCCCACATCAGTAAATGATCCTGTGGGGTGCATTATGACCAGCTGAGGATTTTGGGGGGGACAAGCGAGAGTATAGCCTATGGCAGCCTAGAATAAGATGACGGTCACGTGCTCACTAATTAATTAGCTTTCGGTATATTTAGTACTACCGGTGTGGTACTAGTAAACGGGCGCGGCAACACCAGAGGGTCCAGCAACCCAGCCGAGTTTGTTCTCATAATAGTCGTGGACAAAATTCGGAGTGGAGTGAGAGGAATAGACACTTCATATGGAAGCAATCGGTGCTACCCTGTGCCACCAACCCAGGGACGGAAAGTGATAACGAAACAGAAAGTACTAGGTCCTGCCAGTGGAGGGTGGGACAGTGGGTGATCCCATCGTTGCTATACTAACGGTAGAACAAACGACGATCATGACGAGTCAAGACCCCGGTTGGATCGAATCGAGCGTCAGAATTGAGAAAAAGTTCTATTGATACATCGAACGTGGCATACTACGAATACAGCGATTAGTGTTAAGCTACAAAGAAGGGACGTGACGATAATGGCTATATGAATGCTTGAAAAAAAATGGGAGGGGAAAAAATGAGTGTTTGCAAACCCTCTAAATATTTGAGTTCTTGTCCATGTTAAGCATCCACGAGGTGTTGCTCCATTCATCCCTTTCGTGGTCAAGTGGCATTGAGAAATCACACATAAAGTCGGAGAACATTGAATCGGAGGTGCATGTTGGAGCCCCGCTGAAAGCGTCCGAACACGAAAAGGATTGGCCTGACGACTGATATCCGTCCATCGATCCGTGAAGTAGTGGAGACAGACCATTTACATCATAATCCATTGAATTGTGGGGAAGACGCAGTTGTTCCATTCCAAGGAATATGTCATCTTGGGACATAGAAGCATCAGACTCGGATATGTCGCCGTTCCGTTGGAAGGTTGTTGCAGTTGGCGTCTAATTGTCGAGATGAAGATCAGATGAGATCAATATAGAGGAGCATCAGAACGTACGGCGTCAAGATCTAAACCGGAGAGCATTTCAGCTAGTCCTGATCTTGGCGTAGTAGGCTGCAATGGCTGTGATGAACTCAATTCCAAGCCAAGCGCATTCGTGCACTGAGACTGAGGAAGGGACAGAGTGGCGTTCGGCTGCTCGTTAACACACATTGCCTCTGGTAAAGAAAAGGTTGGAAGGAAAGGTGGAAAATGTAAAGGGGAGAGCCCAGTAGGGGATGAGAAAGCTGATGGAAACTGCTTTTTTAATGCACCGAGGAGAGCATCACGCGTAACACCCTGAGGGCGGACCCTGGACGAGCGAACACGTCGCACTGGGCCTATGGATGACTCCGCACAGACTTGTTCAGTAGGCTTCGAGTAGTAAGCGCCGCTTTGAAAAGTCTTGGCCGACTTAGCGCTCTTGCGGTTGGGCTTGAATTTGTAGCCAGGATATTTCGCACAGTGTGCAGCTTGGACTTCCGCTGCCTTCTTATGCCACACAGCTCTGTCTTCTTTGCTCATAGCTCTCCAAAGCTGCCCTGCGATGCGGCTGAGATTCTGCTGACGCTTCTCAGGGTCAGCATTTCCCCGGCTCTTGAGCATGTGTGAACGGTAGAGCATGAATGCGTTCGGTGGGCGAGGGATATGTTCCTTTGACGAAGAATGAACCCCACCATGTGTCGAAGCAGCCAATGAGAACACGTCGCAATTAGAAAATAGCTGAGGGATGGAGAGGGGTGAGTTGAATAAATTATTTCCTTGCTCCAGGCACGGAGGTGCTGATTGGGAACGACACAAATCATCCAAAGGAAGGGAGATATCACTGAAAACGGGGGACTGGGAAAATACAAAGTGCTGTGGATAGTTCAAAGGACCAGGGCCCAAATGGACAGGATAAGAGTTGATCATGTGCCTGCTGTTAGAAACTGGCAAAGTAAAGTCAGCTCGGCCCGGCCCGGCGACTACCCAAGGAAAGACTGACCGTCATAATCCATTGTATTAAAAAAACCTTGCTTTTGGACTGTAAAAGGGATCTCAACACCAGTTGAGAGTAATGAACATTATGAGGTCAAGGATTATGACCACTCTTATATGCGTACGCTCAGCGCAATAAAGGGAGCTGGAGATAGTCCCACTACGTGGATCTTCGTCAGGCTTCGTGAGCTCACCTGAAGGGCGGCATAAGTATACAAAGGGAAGAATGTGAAGAGCAAAAGAACATTGGGGTCAATCAGTTTGAAAGAAGGCGCGAGGCTGATATCACGTGACCGACACAGAGCAATCGGAAGCGCGCGAGAGCACGTTGTAAAGCACGTTGCCCAGCGAGCCATGTCTTCGGAGTCATAAGTAATGCAGTCTGGCTCACCGAAAACCTGAAAGTCCTCGTGTAGACAAGATATGGCACGAGGCACGAAGCTACAAAAGCGTGGCAAGATAAGAGTGGCGTGCGAGCGACGATGGTCCGCTCTCTGCGGGAAATGACACCGTATTGACAACGACGACATTTAGTACCAGAAATACCGCAGCATGTGTCGCCGATCTCCTCCCGTGAACATTGACAACATCTGTTTCTGTGTACTGCTTCTATCAATATCATTAATTTGAGTTCCGGGTACAGGTTTACAGGCCAACCAATTATCGTCGGCGTTACCGCATGGTGCATGTCAATTGAGATAAGGTCACAAGTCATGCTTGTGATGTCGATTGATGGATGATGAAACGCGCTGCCCGGCCTTGTGATTATATCTCTAGTTTCATTAAAATTATAAGCAATGTAAACGCAGCCACATTCCTGCAGCAGGCTGTAAGCAAAAGGTGCATGACAGAGATAGTAACACCTACGTGCGATTTCTAGGGAATAGCGATCCATTGCGAACTCCCAGCTGCTTTCTTGATCCGGTTCATGATTGCCAGGCCCTCATTTTCTTCTGGAACTTCTTCCACTAAGATTAAGTCCACCCCCTCCCTTTCCAATGTCAACAGTCCATCAAATAGCCGCCTTGCAATAATTGCTGGCTCCGAAACCAGCCCAAAAGGAAATTCACGCCACTGAATGGTCGTATCGCTGATGAGAGATTTCATCAAAATAGAATCCGAAGGCATCAATAACCCCACGCGGAGAGCGTTAGGAGAATGTGGCATTGAACGCTTGAGATCCTCTAGAAAAGCGGATGGGCTAAGAGGTTCTATTCCAAGGGGAACTTCGGACATGTGCATCAGCGTCACTGGCACTGAGGGGGAATAATGGCGATATTTCATGCCAGGTGTAGTGGGTGCCTGTTCCAATGCGTCGTCACGAAAATCACGACGATGGACGAGGATTTGGGGTATTGGTGTATCGGTATCGGAGAAGCCATTGACGAGCACTCGTTTAATGTCCTCCTACTGTAATTCCGCCAGGTCGCAGGATGCGGATATTTCCGTCTTCATGTAGACCATCTACGACCGTACTTTCTAGACCAACTTCACATGGGCCACCGTCTAGAATGATTGTAATTTTGCCATTCAAGTCATTCAACACGTGCTCTGCACGGGTAGGACTAGGTTTTCCGGAGGAGTTGGCGCTTGGAGCTGCGAGCGGTGCATCGGTAACAGCAATGAGTGCTCGTGCTACCGGATGTGATGGTATTCTGATTGCGACAGTTGGCTGGCCAGCGGTAATGATGTCGGGTATCAGGCTATGGTCGCAGGGGAAAAGTAGCGTGAGGGGTCCAGGCCAAAAATGCTCTATGAGCAATTCGTAAGAAGGTGAAAGCGTATAATTTTGTGGAAGCAAGGTTTGTAGCATACGCCGCGAGGACACATGTACGATGAGAGGATTGTCAGCCGGCCGGCCTTTGGTGGAGAATATCTTAAGGGCTGCTGTCGCGTTTAAAGCGATAGCACCCAGCCCATAAACGGTTTCAGTAGGAAAAGCGACTGGGGAGAGATCTTTGAGGCAGGATGCTGCGGTATGCAAGGCTGTGAGGGTTTCAGATGAGCTGACCGCTACCTGGTCGTCTAAAGAAAAGACGATGGATGTAGAATCGCATGCGAGCACCTGTGTCGCCGCCGCCATCGTGCCTTGTGGTTGCGAACACCTTTGTCGCAAAAAGTTGAGGTACCTTTTCAAAACATTCATTAGTAGGATTGTCGAAACCCAGACCGAGTCAGTTGCATGATGAGTCCGGGATCCGATCGGGTAATCAATAGTATATTAAATACAACTTTTAAGTTAGTCTCACTGCGCGCCATAGTATAGACATCTAAAATGACCTGGTATCCTCGGGCATCATGATATACTACGCCTGATATCCCTTTTATCGAGTCACTACTCTTGGTAAACAGAGATTGACCGGTTACATTCGAATGCATCTGGTAACTCTGTCACTACGTGTCCCGAGAATCAGGTACATGGGTCTTGGGCATGTTCAGTCCAACTCGTCGTGCAGTCGCTTCGATCCGTTCCTCCGCTGTTAGGTCGATTAATGGGTTATATCTCTCCAACAAAGCCTAGCATAAGTCAGTTGATGTGTAATACCTTGCGTGAAACCAGAATGCTCGCCTTATATTCTCGCTGAGATCGCAGGAAAGTCAAGGCATTCTGCATATCGTGATGAAAACGTTGCGTATCCTCGGGTCGTCCACTCTGTGCGAACAGGGCTCGGAAGTTTGAAGCAATGTCTTTGTTCCGAGCTAACCGAGGTTTGACAGTCTGAGGGTCACTGAAAGTCAATACAAGCAACACAAATGAAAAGACTGGCAATGTACCGCTTTGGCTATCTCTCGGACTACCTTTCGATAGACGTGTGTGTGATGTGCAACCATTGGGTACAAGTAAACGTTTCGCTTCAAGCGTTCACAAATTGCGATGACATCAAATCTGATTTCCTTTTTTGGACGATCAATCAGCCCACTATCATTTTTACAATTCATCCACAAGTTCAAGTTCTCTGCAGATCTCATTGTACATTGATTCAAGCCACTGACACAAGTTCCCGTCTATAATGCTGTGGAAATTAACTTGTTTAGACTCTCTTCCACTGCTCGATATTTTAAAAGGCTGCTCAATCTGATATTTATCCGCCAGCTCAACTCACAAACTTCGAGACCCTACTAGGTTCATTCACGATTAACTGATCATCATGGTTTACCACTGCCATAGCATAAACTCTGACGACTCTCCTACTCACAACGTAGAAACCAAATCTATCCCCAAGGTTAGTGACGTAGCGTGTTTTCCTCTTAACCAGGTCACTCAAGTTTCTGCCGTAGTCAAAAAAAGTAACGAGCTCGCGGAAAAATGACACCAAACCGACGCGTACCAATCCTGCACGAGCTCAAAAAAAGAACCAACGTGTTTCCCATGCTATCAAGAGGCATGTCAAACAGCGACGACGTGATCCTATGCATGTATTTGTTGGCAATGTAAGGCACCGTGAAAACTATTACGATATGGAACCTGACCTCGATGCAAGCTTCCTAAAACAGTCGACGAAGACAGTATCGAAGAGTACTTCAGTCGCTGTGGCGAAATTCTCTCTGTCGAGATTCGCTGCAGCGGTGGTCTGGCAATGACGACTGGCCGCCCGGATCCAGCCTATATTGCACAACATTCTGTTAGGCAGTACGCCATGATCACGTTGATTGATGCATCAGCTGCCAATAAAGCTTTGAATCTCAATGGGTCTCGTCTTCAAATAGGTGATGAATCCACGGAGCTTGTGGTATGTCACTTGAATCTTCATTTCAGAGTGCAACTCAAAACTGTAATTTAGGTCACTCGCAGCCCCGCTGATCTTCCAGAAGTGATAGAAAAGGTGCAGCAACGTCTTGAAGCATACCGAGCTCGCAACGGCTTCACTGATGCGAGGCGTGCTCGACAAAGCGCAATGAGGTATGACAACCGTTGTTGACTTATGTGTTCATTGCTGATTCGACCGTTGACCTACATAGGGCTCTGGATCTCGAACCTACCATTTTATTAGAAACTCGCGGAGATAAACACCCGCGCGGGAAGATTTTTGGTTTTTCTTTCCCTTTGCCCCTCTTTTGACTCTCCCTTGTACCTTTGTTTCAATAATGTCCCCATTCTTTATTTATGCCGTATACCCAACATGTCCATACACAACGTGTACTATGGTGGGCGATGAGATGCCCTGGATGTAAGGCTTCTGGAAGCATTGACACATTGCATAGTACTAGTAAATGAACAAGCTTAAGCTTCAATTACCACGCCTTCGGCCGGATTTAAATTTGTGAGCTTTATAAAGCTTTGGGCCTTTGGCAACGCCTCTGTGCCTTCAATCGAGTACCTGCTACTGCGTCAACAGGCCAGTCGCAGGTATTTTTCTTGACATTCTCATTTACACTGCCTGCATGGAATCGGTCTGAAAAGTCATTTCTTCAGATCCTAAGGTGAGATCAACTTACTGCTTCTAGTGCCAAACTGAAAGCCTTATTACGCTCTAAGTGCTGCCCTTCGTTTGTTCACCGTTCGTTGGAGCTAGTCACTGCCATGGCGAGAGGCGCAACTCTGAATCCCACTTCGACGCCCTTCTTCCCTGGCAATATGCGAAACAATGAAGAGGATGGGGCCACTGGGTTCGTATTTGGGGTTCCCACACTTCGGGAACAGGATGGAGCGTCTGTGTCCTCTCAATCAGCCTGTTCCGCTGATCGCAGGTCTTTGAAGTCGTCCCCAAGTCCACCCCGATTACTGGAGCACACTGGAGCGCCCGATAGTCTCCCAGACGCCCGCTTCCAGCTTTTGCCCCCACACGGGGATAGGCCTCCATATCTCCATCAGGTTGAGTCTGAGAGGCAGCATGCGTTTCGTGCGCGAGACATGAGTAAGGTTGGCAGCTTAGAGTCTCTACCAGAAGCAGATGATACCCCCAATCCAAATACCCATGACGAAAGCATGTACACCCTGGGCGATTCGTCTCCATTTATCTCGGCTCTTGTGCAACAATCTCGGAATCGCAATGTAACACCTCCGGTCAACATTATGAACAACTCATTACGCTCTTCATCATTCAACATCAGTGGACCATTCCCCTCATCGTCTCCGGTCTCATCTTTGGACTCCGGCAGTCAACTTGCCTCCAGTACCGATTTTCATCATAATCTGGAGGCACAACTCAAAGCTTCTCCAATCATACGTGACCTATTAGACCGGCTTCAGCGTTGCGAGTATAACACGCGCGAAATCCAGCGCGATATCAGCGACATACACCGCAAAGTCAACATCCTCATTGAGAGGACCCTTAGCAGTGCCACCTCTTTCAATAGCGCTCAGCCTGAATTCAAGGATCCTTTCGCACCTGCTTCTGGCATGTCGACACCCGCAGTCAATATCGCGCGGGCTTCATTTAGTGCAAACATTGCACCAAATCAATCGCCTCCTGCGGATGATATTACACAGATATCTCAACGCCTGAACACGTTGACCACTTCCGTTGGGCAATTGCTGGCTCTTCAAACACAGCAGCATATTCAAAATGCTACCACAGGCCTTCTTCCTGCCCAGATGGGACGATCTACCCCACAGATGCAGGACATGGCCTCGAACCAAGCCTTTCCCCATGGCATGGGGTCTAACCCCGCTGCCCTTGGTCATGGTATACCGAACAGACCAGATATGCGACCGTCACCACGCGCACCTAATCCCCCAATGCGCACTTGGTCTGCGGGAACGCTTGATCTTCCCATGCGGACCGAGACTCACGGCAATTTGGGACGACTTGAACCTCCTCGGGATAAGCGTCGTTCTGTAACTGGGGGCATCATACGGCGTGAATCTGTAGGCGTGCGTAGTTCAGTCTCCCTAGCGACACTAAATCAACTAACCTGTTTGATTGCTAGATGATTGATGCACAGGGCAATGAGCTATCTGGTAGCTCAAGTCGTGACAGCGGTCCCATGGTTTCCAAGTGGGAACAGTTGAATCTTGCGCCAGATTTACTTCGTTCTCTCAGCAAATTTGGGTTAGTGGTAATCCATCGGAATCAGTTCTTCTGTTAAACTTGATGTTCGTAGCATTGGCCCTCCTAACAAAATTCAGCAACGCGCACTTCCATTTCTTCTGCGAGGTGCAGACATCATTGCGCAAGCTCCACCCACTCAAGAGCGGATTGCGGCATATGTGATACCCGCTATTCAGGTAGCTGTGATAAATACCGCCGGACGCCCCCTTACCAGGGGACCTCTAGTAATCATGATATCTACCACGGTCGACCAAGCTACCCAGGCTCAGCGTATGATTCGTGACCTCGGGGGTCCGATTGGCATTAGATCTGCGCTAGGCGTTGGCACATCCACATCGCCTAGTGACCTTAGCCAGGAGCTACGCCTTCTGCAGCAGAACATGCCCCACATCATTTGTGGGACCCCACAGAAGTTACATGCCCTTTTCACTGCCTCCGGAGGTCTCGTCGGATCTGAAGTCCGCTTCCTTGTTCTTGACGAGGTTGATCAACTGATTGCCCGCAACTTACACGAGTTTGTCTTCAACATAGTGAAGCTTCTTCCTCCGCCAAGGTCTCGACCTGTTGGAAATGTCACGCCAAATTCTGCTTCTGCCCCACCTCAACAACTATTCAATTCCTTTGATGCAAACAGCCACCCCGCCTTATCGACTTCTAACACAGGACGCAGGTTCTCTGCGATTTCTCCAGCCTCCTTCGAATGAGCATACTACCGGCTCGTCGAACATTATTGAACGACAGACTGCACTGTTTTCCAATACTGTGCCGCAGGATGTGCTCAATCTAGCTACGGCTATCCAACTCAAGGAGCCTGTGCGCGTTCTAGTCCGCCGTGATGGAAATGTTACCAGCACCGAGTCCGCTCAAGGGTCTCGTGGTCTTAGGCAATTTTACCTTTATCTTGCTTTCACCGCTGGTGTTCGAACAGACACAAGTAATCCTGCTGCACCGGGTGGTGGACACGGCATCATTGGTTCGGGCCGCGGGGCATCTAGTGCTGAAAGTGCTCAAGCTCGCGAGTGGAAACTTGACGCGTTGGCAGATATATTTGATGACGTCGAGGTCAGCCAGGCGATTGTGCATGTTGGTGGCATGACATCTTTGGAATCAGTTATCCACAAGCTTGCCAGCCGCGGGCTTGAAGCTGTACCTCTTGTCAGTACCAGAAGCATTCTCTCTCTCTCGATGCTCAAACGGTTTTCTTCTAGCACGGTGACATGAACGCAGGCACAAAGCTGGCAGCGCTGAACAAGTTCAAAAGTTCAGCTTCAGTTATGATGAGAGAGCCTGTGACGAAAGTGTTGGTTGTGAATGATGTGCAGGTGAAGACCCCAGAAGTGTCTCACGTCCCTCTGATCATCAACTATGGTAAGTAACTGGCCATGCTGTGGTCTGAGTTGATGTTCGAACTTTTTTGTTAGACCTTCCTAAAGCTGTAGAGGAGTACGCGCATCGGTAGGCCAACCCATTACCTGTGTCAAACACGCGCTCATCCCTATTTCATCTCTATTACAGCGTTGCTCCAGCCATTGCTTCCAATTATGCACGAGCTGGTGTTGTAGTGAACTTTGTCACTGCGACTGGGGGTGATGTTGAAATGCTTCGCTCTATTGAATGTTTTTACAAGTACGCACTTTTTTTTAAAAAAAGCCTAGTACTGACGATTGACGATTTTCTTCCAATCCAGAATTAAATGCGTGCGTTTTCCTGTTGAAATCATACACCACAAACTGTATCTAACTTTCCACAGCCTGAAGTCCCACTGAGCCTTCGCGATGTCATCTAAACACGCACTTGGCGTTCATGTATCTCTATTTTCTCAGGCCTTGATTCAGTCACTTTCCGATGTGTTCTTATACTTTGCTAACGTATCACTTACCCAGGCAGGTGCCCAGCCATGGCACTAATCTGTTTTATACCCATATATTTGGCACCCCTTTAGCGATATCAACTCAGATGTTTCCGTACTGACACTGTTTCCACCACTACTTGGTATCCAGTCTTCTCGACACTGACCACTGTATAGCAGTCTTTCCTTCCTGTCTTCACTACGTTTGCCTCGTGAATCGGCTTACTGTGTTTTATGTCAATTCTCTTTATGTCATTTTGTTACTGTGGAGTTTAGCGTGTCTACCAACGTACTTTAGTCTACTTCAAACTGGACAATCAGTACTTTCAGTGTACCATCATCGCTGCAGGACGCCAGCTGCTTCCTCGATGGGTTGTCAGTTGCTCTCCACGCCAAACGATTGATTTGATCAACGTGTGCCAAACTTTAAACTCATGAGCAAATCTCTTGCAAGTTACGATAAAGACTTACTTTGAGTCGATTATCAACACTAAGGTCCACTGATCTGGTGTGGACATCAAGCTTGAATAGACCTTTATCTCTCCTGTCTCTAAACCAACCGCAAGCCAGCGTCTGGAGAGAGTTGTGATTGAGACGAGATACAGAAGGGTTTTACTTACTCGGGCGCATCAGCACCAGCAGAACAAAATGCGACAGCGGTCGCTGCTTCCTCAAATTTAATTGTCGTAATTGCTCCCCATCGAGCAGAGTCTGAGTCCTGCTTCCATATCTTTACCTGATGGACGGTCGATCAAGAATCTTTCTTCAAAATCAGAAACACTTACAGTCTTATCACGAGATGCGGTGGCAAAAAGGTCCCCTTCACAGCTCCATGCGCAATCCCAGATGATTCTTCCGTGCGATTTATCTGCAGCAATGGGCATATAACCTAGTAAGCAGCAGGATGGTCGGTCGTCATTTTGTTACGTGAAGGCATATAACCTCGTACCATTTTCTTTCTTCTCAAATAGCCTCCACGTTCGATCCCGACTTACGGTGAGGACGTATCTATCGTTTGGCGGGCTGAATGCTATACGGGTGACTGTCAGGCTATGGCCCTCGAGAGGGGCACCGAAAGGCTGGTAGCCGGCTGTGGTGGACACGCGAATAACGGCATGCTGCGGGGAAGTTGCACGACAGGCAGTTGCAAGAAGGTCGAGTGAATTAGAAGCTGAGATCGTGATCGACTAGGTCGATGGAATTGCATCAATCGCATTTCACACAAGAATCACAGATTGGCTGACCTCATATCCATGCCCAAAAACTTTTTCCACTTCAGGCCAGAGGGTGATGGAAGCTAGCTCTCCTTCAAAAGGACGCCTGCAAGGTCTGTTACCATCCAATTCTGAAGGTGCTTGAATAGAAGACAGTCTGTCAAACAGCAAATATCACGCATATCATATGACACACCATCGCTAACAGCCTTGTTCGAGAGTCCGAGAGGAGGCACACTAGCCGTTGCAGGTCTATCCCCCTTTTTTTTTCTCAGAAGCCCTGAAATATAACAAGGAGTGGTCCTTACCTCGCTCTGGGCCAGATCCTTTACTCCAAGTACTCGGACCTCCTCGACGAAATTCCGTGGAGCTTCGAATACTCGTGCGACCTTCTCATCGGCAACGCTTGCAAAGGTCCACGGGCCGAGCCATGCTACGCCCATTAAGTCATAGCCATGTACCTGAGGGCGTGACAGCTCATGCCAAATGCTCTGTTCGAAGGTAGAGGATGTAATAGCGCCATGAATGCGCGTCGTCTGGTCCAGACTAAAGGTGCGCAGTTAGTATCTAGAATATAGCGTTGATAGTAAACGACCCTTACCCCACAGATACCAGATAGTCTCCTTTGGGGCTCCAGTCGAGGTCTTTTATTGCACCACTGTGTCCGCTGATCGCACCAACCTCTTCCCACTCTTCGCCAACTGTTCTTCCGTGACTATCACTTGTAATGCGGCGCCACCGTCGCCAGCCTCCACTCCAACCCCATGCCATGGCTTCGGCACCATCATTTGACCAAAGCCCTCCAGTAAAGCCACCGAGACGCTGACCTCCCACATCACCGAAGCGTTGTATATTGATCCAAATGGACGAGGTTGACGATGAATATGCAGTTGAGACGATCGAGCTAGGAGCCCATATGATGAGAGAGGAGTCTGTTGATGTAGAGAGCAATGACGTATTCGAAGGAGACCAAGAAAGCGACGTAACTCCTGCCTCGTGGCCAATCAGGAGAGCATCGAATGTGACAGAGTACTGTTGCGTCCTGCCCAACATAAACCCGGTCATAAACTCGATCCAACAATTTTCACTACAGATTCAACGCACCCGGAATTCGATTTGACAGTAAGAATATGCCGTTTAAGTGAAATTTGTCTGCCACCCTCCTCTGCGTCTGCACTTAAGTCTCCTAATGAAGCCTCAAATGCGTCCAGGAGATCGTCACTGAGATCGTCTCCCGATTTTTCTGTATGAATTTGTGACTGGGCCTGCATCTTAGTGAAGGACTCCACATTCCAAAGTCGGATGGTTCCATCCTGTGACCCTGAAGCGAGAACGATGGGATCATTTGGTGTGGATGGAGCTCGGAACGCCAGCGCACGTATCCAGTCTTCATGTCCTGATAGGGTGACTGAACGAATAAACTTGAAGAAATGAGCACTTGATACCTAGCTGAAATATGTGAAACCCACTGGTCCGTCAGAACGTGTCCAGATATGCACTTTACGATCGGTTCCCCCAATGGCAAGTATTATCGCTTCGGCAAGGTAAGTGCCTCGTCGTCGAGAAGTTTGAGTCTCTCACCTTCAGACGATGGTAGAGATGCGATTGCTATTGATAAAGGATACCATCCTTGAAGCGATATGGTTTGAAACTCCTTCACCTCATCTGTTACAATTAGCCTGATTCACTGCGCAAATGAAATACGAAATTTACCGTCAACCTCACCACGTTGCACCTCCCATATTTTGATGGAAGAGTCTGAACTTCCAGTAAGTAGGAATTTGTCGAATTCGCGAAGTACAGAGATGGCTTGTTGGTGTGCTCGCACGATCGCGGTAGTCCTCCACTACGAACATTGTGGGGACGTTGGCACACAAGGCGGATTAACATACCTCTGTCCCAAATAATCTCCAGTAGCGAATGGTCCCCTTGTCGTCCGTACTAGCAAATGCGTCGGACGCCACAAAACGAACACAGGTCACTAAGCCATCGTGACCAGGCAGCGTCTGGAGGACACCTCTGCCATCAGGGTCCTCCGATGAGATGTTAGGCACGTTATAAAAGCGATGGCAATATACTCACCTGAGTATTCCACAACGCGATTAATCTACCTGATCCATAGGCAATCAGGGAAGAGGTGGAGGCATCTGCAGCATGGTTGAAGCGATTGGTAGATGCTGAAATATATGCCGTGCTGATGGATGGCTTGGACATCGCCGCACGGCGCAGATCGCAGGCTACAAAAGTCTAAAACACGAATTAGTCAATATTTTTCAAAATGCGTAGAATGGTCATACACTGATCTCGGACTGCGCTCGTGTTGATACGCGTTCTGCAGTTACGTTGAGTCAACTGTCCTTAACGTTTGGTGATCGTTGACTCTGACACGGACGGTACAAGGCTCGAGGTTGAAGTCAAGTCACACATTTGGGTCCGGCATACTTGCTCACTTTGTCACATTCATCTATGTCCTCTTCATGCGCATGGCATACATAAGTGTGTTGCACCAATAATCGTCGCTCTGTTGCACGACAGCACTTATAAACCACTCTGGTGCAGTTTGCTCACAAGAAGGAACCGGCTGTACATCTCCCGAGTCTATTATATCTGCCCAGTTGCTTAACCGACACACCTTTCCTAAAAACTTCATTTAAAACCCATTCACATGCCAATCCTCGGCATCGGTATCGATATTTTGCACCTTCCTCGTCTCATCAGTCTGTTGGGTCGAAGGAGATCCGAAGCATTTGCCACGAGAATTTTAAGCTCCCAGGAATTACGAACATTCCAGTTGCTCGCAGAACAGCATGGAGAAGATGATATCAAAAGGATTGCACAGTTTTTGGGTGTGCGGTAAGTCTTTTCCTTATCTTACATCTTGCCAGACATTCATGCAACCTGTCATGGGGTCTAGATGGGCGGTGAAAGAAGCTGCGTACAAAGCGTTGTATCCCATCCGCCCTACCTGGAAGGAGGTGACATACTTGTCATTCAATGGAACCACTGGCGTAAAACCAACACTTGTTTACCGTCCCGTACGCAATGATGTCGGACCAGCGAATAAATTGCATGTTTCAGTGAGCCACGACGGAGATTATGTCTACGCACAGGTTATTGCAGAGTCGACGTGATTTGACGTCTATTATCCTTCAAGAGTGGTGTGTCTAGTCCGAGACGATACAAAGAATCCAATCTATGATCCTAATTATACTAGGCTGTTCAAATCATGTACTTCGTCAGGAGGCTGCTCGGGCCACCAATCTGCCCACAAAGGCTCCACCTTCCACGACTGTTCCCCCCTTTCCTCAGCAACCAACGCTATATCGGGACGCAAATGTTCTAGTCGCACCAAGGCCAAGCCAACGCTTGATCCTATACCTGGAGCGGCTATCGAGGAAAGGAGCGTGGATGACCCGCGCAAGCGGGGTGTTTTAACCGCGGCGTCGTCTGTAGTGGATGGAAGGGACGGTTTAATCGACATGTATGGTGGCAATGACGTCGGAGAGGAAATGTGAATTGGGAGTATACGTTTCCGCACTGCGCCCGTGTGATATGTGCGCACTGTCAACTCTTGACCGACATAGCATCCCTTCCGGAAATCCACTAGCGCATGTCAGTATAAGTATCAGATTAAACAAAAAAAGAACATACGTCCACCCATCGCGTCTAAGTTTGATTCAATAGGAAATGCATGCATGGGTTGAATATCCACGCTACCCTCGGGAACACCGTGCATGATGCGATGGAGCAAATATGCATCCTTACCAGCCAATTCATGTGTAGACGCATCGGCAGCTGCACAATATCAATTCCAGCTCAATGCAAGAAACACCCCAAAGACAAACTCACGTGTTTCGCCTTTGCGAACGAGCATCCGCTTGCCCATCCCTGGAGCACGTCGATCAAGTATGGTACCATTCTCAGTTCCCCATGGCCATTCGTTAGTCCGCCAGACTGGCTCGACAGCGCCGCTCCGTGCCCAATTCCACTCCCTGGTTTCTTTTGTTCTTTCTGACCCCCATGCGGCCCAAACATCCCACTCCTCCGACACGTCCCGTATGCGCACCTTTGCGCGGAGGACGTAGCGTTTGAGAAGGCTCATGAGGGTAGGTGCCTCGGATGGAGTAGGGTCATATTCTATGAGATATGTCGGCCCAGTAGATGAAAGTGATGGTGTCGGGGAGTTATATAGGAAGGTGTCATACAAGACGCGTCCCTACGACCAGAAACTGCATGGTTACATTACATACTGCCAGACACTCGAAGCTGGGTCGCACCTGAGCGTGTAAGAACGCCCCATATGTCTGTTTGCCCTGCACACTACACGCTAGTAGCCCATTGAGGAACTCAGTTGCTTGTGAACCAGAAACAGAAAGAACTGCGCGATTAGATACAGGCGCTAGTGTCGGAATTGTTCTTAAAAGCGCACGGAGTGATGGTGGTATAGGCATCAAGAGAGCATGAGAAGTTTACGCATGATTGCAACCTGCTTTCCTGAACCATCAAGTCCTGAGCGCTGAGCTCTCATCACAACACTTAGACGCTGCACGACAGCAAGTCGGGTTTAGATTTATAGCGGAAATTAACTTCGAGTGCGCCAACGGACTCTATTACATCGGTCATGTCCTCCTCCTGTGACGCTATCCTCAGAGCACTCAAGGAATGTCCTTCTCAATTCCGACTGCGTCCAAAAGCAAGGACATCTTCCTTCGGAGTGTCTCAAGCAACATAGTAATGAATTGCCGGAGCAATGTCAGCTACTCAGGAAGTCCACTTTCGAATGCAAACGCAATATGGTAAGTGACTACTAAACACATGAACATGCTCTGATACGCAAAAGTTGGATATGAGGACTCGGTTTCGAGGTAATACGGTGGGAATGGATGCTGAGAAGCTGAGACAGCAGAAGACTCCTGCACCCCCTGCAGAATCGTGACGTGATGGATGGCTTCCAAGTTATCATATCACGATGGCGACTCGGATACTCGCGAATCAATGTCGTTCCGAGTGCGTATCTTCTTCCCTATCATTATATCCCCCTCAACGAATAAATTTCCTAGTGTATCCACTGAGGGTCTGCGGTCAATAGGTGTTGTGTCGATCACACTTGTCGTCGTAGCACTGAGCCACCGTCGAATCAATCACTACTTCGAGCCATGCTGCTTATACATTCGCCAGCCTTTCTAAGCATATTGGAAATTCATCGAAGCATATTCGTAAGCCCGGTGCTTAGCAAGCCTAATCGCGCAAGTGGTTAATTTTGGACCTGATGGGAGCATGCCAGCTGAACATGACGCGTGACGAATCATGTATAAGGTAGTTTGGGTTAAATACACAGTGATTCTTCCCTCCACTAGACTCCTTCCAAGTAACAATTCGACATGTCAAAGCCTCTAGTTCTCTACACTGCAGCTACCCCCAATGGCCACAAAGTGTCTATCCTGCTCGAAGAGCTCAAGGCGGCCTACGGGAACATTGACTACGAGTAGGTCTTCCGTCATGTCCTCCGGCCGTTATTCATAGGCCCTTCACAGTGTCGAGAAGATCAACCTGACCGCGAATGTCCAAAAAGAGCCATGGTTCATCGCAATGAACCCAAACGGACGTATCCCTGTTCTCATTGACCGCTCCAATACCACTGTTGCCCACCCGAACGGATTCCCCGTCTTCGAGAGTGCAGCGATTTTGTTGTACCTCGTGCAGAAGTACGACAAGGAAGGGAAGTTCAAGTTTGAGAGCGGCAGCGATGAGGAGAGTCAGATGTTGCAATGGATCTTCTTTGCTGTACGTGTTTAGATTCTCTAGGTGATATAACTGGAGATGCACGCTCATAACCGTACAAACCAGCACGGAGGAGTCGGTCCTATGCAAGGTCAATGTAAGCTGTGGTCAGTCATATACTTTTCTCGCATAACAGCCGAATGTTACAGCGCACCACTTCCGACACTATGCCCCTGAAGATGTGCCTTACGGCAAGAAACGTGTGTACTTGTTCGACCTCATTTAGTTTCTATAGTTCTAACGTCATGCGTCAGGCTATGGGGATGAGGTCGTTCGTCTTTATGGTGTGCTCGATATCGGTCTTCAAGGCCGTGACTACCTCGTGGGTCCAGGAGCTGGGAAGCTCAGTGTTGCTGATGTGAATGTCATGACATGGTTCGCATTTTTATCCGGATGAATATTTTGCTTTGATAATGATTTGCGAAATAGGGTGAGGCTTCACAAGCACGCAGGTGTCGAGACCTTAGATGCTTTCCCGAACCTGAAGGTAGTACAGTCATCGTCATTTGGTGGTGGAATATACTAAATTGTTGGTTTCAAGGCTTGGCTTGATCGGCTTCTGGAGAGAGAAACTGTGAAAGCTGGAATAGCTGTCCCTTAGAGTACTCTCGAGCCTGTCTCGCTCTAGCCAAACCGTCAATTCTCCCCTGTACAGTATTTGCGCACTTGAACCAAATTTAGTCTTTCGTCGTCGTCCTGGCTCAGTTGAAAAATTCTTCATTAACATTAACATGGTACTTACCTCCACCGTTATGGGTCATCCGAACACGTATTGAAATGCTCAAGTAACACAAAGCCCGAGGTAGATAACCACTTGAAACCAAGTAATTCGATGCTCTGTTTAAGTTGGTGCTCGACAAAAGCACGGTGCTGTCCACCTTCATGCGGCATCATAATCCTCGTCACTTGTAAGGATGGCAGTATCACCTAGTTTGCCCCCATGGTCGCATCGGACACAAGGAACTTCTCCTGAGTGATCGCGTCGAGATACGGGAAAATAGGTCCAAGTGGCTCAAAGAATAGACAAGAACACGGCGCCTTGCCATCCACAAGATGTTGATTCCATCTAGTTCTATTCCAAACCTTGAAGCCCACCACTTGATGAGAATTGAAAGTAGCGGTCGCGGATGAGGTTGTCGCCGAGGGACCCGACCAAACATACAGTTCGGAACCCGAAGATGGAGTGTTTGCAAGAATCGTACGAGTCTTCACTTTCCTTTCTATAGCGGTTCATACAGGCAGACTCAAGTTCAGAATATAGTCCCGAACAACCTAAGAAGTTTATATCGATAATGATGATTTGATTATGTACTGTGGGCAGCTGAAAGGAATCCGTAAGACAGGGAATGACTCGGAGAATTCGGCGGGTGAGCTGGGAGGCATTGGTGAAACAGTCAACCTCGTTGTCAAGTGCTTTCACGACAGCGGATGCACGTAGAAAGTTGTTGCATATTTGGAGAGTGGAATTGTGACTGGCTCCATACCTTCAAGTTCGGGAAAGGAGAGAGCTGCCATCACTAGTGCGGTCACCGCAGGACATCAATTTGCAGGAGTTTATTTATAGTGCTGAATGCTGACCCGCACAGTCCTTCGTTCAAGGATACCTAATCTCAATCGCCTTCTCCATTCATCCTCCCGTATCAGCAGGCAGTTGTTTGACCCGTCTACTGTTGAACGTGTCTCAGAGGATGTGGACGTCTGCATTGTCGGAGCTGGCCCTGCTGGTCTTAGTACCGCGATTCGACTAAAGCAGTTGGAACAGAAATTAGGAAAAGAATTAAGGGTCGTTGTACTGGAAAAGGGTGCTGAAGTAGGTGCGTACTCCAAACAGTGAATCTTTCCTGTGTCAATGCAACTCGCCCCAGGCTCCCATACACTCTCCGGAGCTGTCATCGAGCCTCGAGCCCTCGACGAGCTCTTGCCAGATTGGGCCCTCCGCGATGACCACCCACTCACGCAGTCAGCAACGTCCTCTCGCATGCGGTTCCTCACAAAGTCGCTCTCGATACCTATACCCCATCCCCCTCAAATGTCGAACCACGGAAATTACATCGTCTCGCTCTCTCGTTTCACTGCGTGGCTCGGGAACATTGCGGAAGAAATAGGTGTCGAAGTTTACCCTGGGTTCGCTGGTGCAGGCGTGGTTTACACAGACGATGGGAGCGTTGCTGGTATCAGGACGAATGAAGTGGGTCTGGACAGGCTAGGGTGCATGAAGGAGTCCTTTGAGCCTGGAATGGAGTTTCGTGCAAGGGTTACCCTTATCGCGGAAGGCGCGCACGGTTCCATCGCCAAGGAACTCATTCAAAAATTTGATCTTCGCCGAAATTCCGATCCACAAACATATGGCATCGGCCTCAAAGAAGTTTGGCGCGTGGATCCAACCCAATATCGACCTGGTGAAGTTGTTCATACTATGGGCTGGCCCCTTGACTTCAGGACATACGGCGGTGGGTGGGTTTATCACATGGCTGATGGGCTCGTCAGCATAGGCCTTGTAATCGGACTCGACTATGCCAACCCATATCTGAGTCCTTATAAAGAATTTCAGGTGTGTTCTTTTTAATTGTTGCATATGTTCCTCTCATGTCCCATCCAAGCGCATGAAACACCATCCATATTTCGCAGAGCTCCTGTCTGGTAACTCCACAAGGATAGCATATGGTGGACGCTCGCTCAACGAAGGCGGCCTTCAATCTGTGCCTCAGCTTTACTTCCCCGGTGGTGCCCTGGTTGGTTGCTCGGCTGGTTTCGTCAACGTCGCAAAAATTAAGGGCACCCATAATGCGATGAAGAGCGGTATGTTGGCTGCCGAAGCAGCTGCAGCTGCTCTATCTCAGGAGTCTAGCAGTGGACCTGCAGATATGTCACAGTATGAAACTGCACTGAAGAATAGTTGGGTTTGGTCAGACCTTAACGAGGTTCGTAACTTGCGTGAAAGTTTTCACACTCCCTTGGGTATTTGGGGAGGTATCATGTACTCTGGCGTCGATTCTCTCCTTCTCAAGGGACGCACTCCCTGGACTTTCCGCAATCGAGCAAGATTAACGGATGCACAGCGGACTCAACCCGCGTATCGATTTCGCCCTATCAACTACCCTCCCTCGCAGCCCCCGTTGTCGACAGATTTGCTGACTTCGTTGACTTTAACCGGCACGAACCATGCAGAAGACCAGCCTGTGCATCTCCGTGTGCGCAAGGACGGCAATGAGAACACGGCCCTTCGAAAGTTGCACGTGCAGCGCAACTTGAGCGAGTATGCTGGGTTATTGCAACGGGCTTGCCCTGCTGGCGTTTATGAATATGTTGAAGATGAGACTGCAGCAGATGGGTGGAATGGACATAAACTAGTGATAAACTCACAGGTGCATCTCACTCTTGAACCGCATACTATGTCTGACATCGATCGTTGCAGAACTGTATCCACTGCAAGTTATGTGATATTAAGGTTCCTACACAGGATATCACATGGACTGTTCCCGAGGGGGGTGGAGGTCCAAAATACAGTGAGTGTCTTTTGCTGACTATTTTCATTGTGATGGCTTATCTTATTCTCATCATTAAGCTATCGTTTGATTTTCAGATATAGTTGACTTGTACTTAGTAGAACTCAGATACAATGATGATATCATGTCGCACCGTCACACGTTGCGCGAGAGTGCTATGATGCAAATGCACAGTGTGCGCGATAAGATGCGAAGCTTCGAAAGATCGAAAAAAACGATGCAAAATGAGACATTGTGATGTAACGATCTAAGGTACGACGCAAAAACGATACAAAACGACACAACAAACAAAACTCGAAGTATGTAGGTCTCCCGCGGTGACACGTGACGGTAACATATCTGCTCTCTATACTTTGTTCTGAACACCCATAACTAACTTATATAAATCTACGGCTTTCTGTCAACCAAATGCAAGGATGCTAAAGGTCATCCCCCGAATATACCGGTCGCTACCATCCTCAATACCAGAGTTCAATGGAACTTCCTGTACCACTATATTACAAAGGCACTATAACTCTCAGACCGGGCAACCCATCACTAGCCCTGTAGATTCGTCGTCACAGTCAATCTCAGCATCTGGCCCAGACTCAATATCTTTTCTCATCCGAAAGACCCAAGATCTGGACACGGGTATTCCGACCTCAATCCTCCCCCAACGCCATCTTCGCCTCCACCCGAGGACGCTTTGTCTCTTCCTACGACCCTTTCAGGTCCACCTGCATGCGCTTACCAACCAGATCCTCAACAGTCATATGCAGTCCCTCCATTCCACACACATGCCTTCGTAGCCGCGCTCGAGAAGTCCTTCCCCACACCCACAGCGCGAAGTCTGATGAGGGCCACGCGTGCTTTGCTCGTGGACAGAATAGATCGCGTAAGGCGGGAAGGCCTCACGGTCAAAGATTTGGATAATGTGCGCCAAACCTGTCCGCAAATTGTCATGCTTACTGACTTAAATGCTGAACAGCAAGCATATTTATTCCGTGCAGCGCTTTCTGAGCTTCGCGCAGAGCAAACCGCAAGATCTCGTAATGAAAGCGCGACAATACGCTCTGCCACAGCTGCGTTGCGCCGAGAAGTCGATCGTTTGGATGTCAAGATGAAAGAAGACCTTGGTAGCTTGAAACATGAGTGTGTCATATTCGTCGAATCAGACGATCGTATTTCTCACACGATTGCTAGCATACAAATGGAGCTTGACACTCGCAAGAATGAGTCAAAGGCACAGCTGAAACAACAGACAATCGCAATTGAGGTTCGGATGATATTCATCTCCGTTGCACAATTTGGTAATTTGGTAAAATAGGAAGTCCTGAATAAGGCGATCATAACGCTCAGTGACCTCCGCGCAAACATGGAAGAGGTAAAATGGAATAACATGCGTCAAGCTGTTGGTACGTTTTACTCATTTGTTTACGTCAAATCACCGATTCTTAGCAACGGTATAGCTGCACTGGGCGCTTTTGTTCTATCAATTGTTATCGGCATGGAACTGTATACATTCAGACAACCGAAGCCGCCGCCGCCCCCGGCTGTGTTGAAGGAAAGATCACCTCCAAATGGTGAGGCGGTGTCTCAGGTGTCATAGCACACAGCTCCAAGGCGCAGGCTTTACCGCATCACTCCTGGGCCTTAGGCCTTATCGCTCACACGGACGTGCAGATAAGTCGCTATCATACACCCACATTCATCTATACCGTCTACAGCTTGGACATTTACATAGAGAAAGGAACAGCCGCATAGATTGTTGTACATATAAAGATGCTCTTAATCGTAACACCTATTATTTGTTACCTGCCACTCTCGTTTCAGACTGACATCCTGTACCCCAAGTAGCTCTAGAGACATTCCAAATCAAAGAACATGATCATTTGACTTGTAGCTTCTCAAGTTTGTCCGAAAGCTCGACAGTGCTCTGATTTGTTGATGATGGATTTGAATTTGAATTTGGTGCGGAGGCTCGGTTTGGCTTGTCTTCAGCGTGCGATCCCGTTGTTGCCACATCGTTCGTGCTGGTCTTCGAGCTTCCCTCCTTCAACTTCTCGGTAGTTGCTTGCACGTCAGCTGAAGCTTCATCTTCATCTTCCCCCTCCTCATCCTCCCAATTATCTTTAATGATAGCCGCCTTCTCCACGCTTTTCTTGGCTCGAGCATTGGCGCGCTTTTTCGCGTTCTTATTTGGAGGTGGCGTAGCGGTCTTGCTTTTCGGTGATGTAGCAGAAGAAGGCGCAACCCAACCTAGTATGTGGCCCTTTGGAAGGGCCGTAGAATCCATCGCCTGCTGGCGTGATCCACGGAATCGAGAGACATCTTCCTGGGGTGTGAATCCAGGTCTAATCTTAAGCTGCTTGCGCACACTGGTGATGCAGTAGAGATCTAATCATAAATGATTTGAAGATGCTGGGCTCAAGCAGACGTACGTTCCATCTGATCTCTTTGATTCTGGTATAACACGTTCAAGGGTGCGTGGATCGACGGCTATGCCAGCTGCGGACTGTTCAGGGAATAATGGCGGGCGTGCCATGTTGTAGAATTAGTTGTATGTGTAGTACTCGAACTTGCAGTTACTTGGTTTCCGACAGAGGGGGAGAGTCTGAGTTTGAAATTGTTCCTTGTACTTCTTTTACTATGCGCTACGCTGTTCTAGTCACCGGTCCTGCTGGTGCGGGCAAGTCTACTTTCTCGACTGCTTTTGCCACCCATCTTCGTGTCTCAAAACGCACGGCCCATATCGTAAATCTCGATCCTGCTGCAACCGGCGATGCCTTCGAGTATCAACCTGCCATCGACATTCGAGAGCTTGTGACCCTAGACGACGTCATGGGCGAGATGAATATGGGTCCTAATGGCGGTCTTGTGTTTTGCTTTGAGTGAGTGAGTGATCACGCGTGATAGTCCCTCAAAGAAATCAATCTCATAGTCTCATTTTGTATTTAAAGGTACTTGTTAGAAAATATGGATTGGCTTGAGGAAGAACTCGGAGGGTTTGACGACGACTACTTAATAATCGATTGTCCAGGTATGATTCTACTCATATGACCGCGCATGTTTTCATTGCCTACAGGTCAAATCGAGCTGTACACGCATCATCCGTTCCTCCCGCAACTTGTGCGGAACTTGCAGCGAATGAGCATACGGACTTGTGCTGTGTATCTCTTGGAATCCCAGTTCATGGAAGACCGATATAAATTCTTCAGGTGTGTCTCAGTTCATGGTTTCTTTTTATCCAATCATTGAAATTAGTCCAGCGGTGTATTGTCCGCAATGTCCGCGATGGTCAATCTTGAAGTACCCTGGATAAACATCATGTCTAAAATGGATCTTGTCTCCGGATCATCGTCAGACACGTTTGAGCCAAGAAATGGGAAACGTGGAAAGCGCGACATCGCTCGGTATCTTGATCCAGATCCGATGTTGCTTGTTGCCGCGAGGGACGGGAGAGACCAGCAACGCGGCAACAGCAGATTTCACGACCTAAACCGGGCCATCGTACAGCTAGTATGTTGCAGCTTGGGGCTTTGTTCCGGACTGACTGCCGCGTAGATCGAGGACCATCCTTTAGTGTCATTCTTGCCGCTGGATCTAACGTCGACGGACTCGCTTGAGACAGTCGTCAGTCATATTGATTTTACTATGCAATATGGTGAAGACGAAGAACCGAAGGAGGTATATCACGTCCTTTGTTGAGCGTACTCTAAACTAACGGCAGTATATCAGCCACATGATCTAGACGAAGGGGACTTTGCTGATATGGAATAGGAGTGTACAGTGTTATTCAAATATCGCATCCTGTGTTTATACACGACATTTTGGGACAACTGCACTCCGAATTTTTGGAGAGCGATCTCACATGGTGATCAAACTTGACGTATCGACACACTAGGAGTTTGACTGGGTAAGTTGAACAAATCTAATTTCTACAGTGCCAGAGCTTACAATGGTATCACACTTCTATCATTGGCCTTTGACTCGATGAGAATTTATCACGGCGTTGACCGACAACGGCACCGTATTGATTGCACTATCATAAGTACCAGCCCAAGGAAACTTTCTTGATGACTCACCTTTTTTTGACAGCGTCAATCATTACTATTCTTCATCTCCGGTGAGATTTTAGCACGCGCCAGACTGCCACTGAAAAAAACTTTCCCGTCGACTGATCATTACAAGGTCGTGTGTGCTTAGGGAGGCGTGGAATTTTGATCGAGAAGTTTGACATCATGAAGCTAGCCGCACTTGGTCTTATCGGCCCAAACCAAGAAATACTAGGCATTACTGTGCGCCACTTCTTCGAAGATGTCCAGAAATTCTTGCACAGGACACAATACATGACATCGGTCAGCGCGTCAGCTCACACGCCGTGCGATTGGAACGGGCGACGTAATCACAGGTTAGGGCTACGCTGATTGGTAATGTGATAACACCGACTTGTCTCCACATTTTGCTATGTGTGCGACCAACTTTTTAAGTTCGACAGCTTCCTGTATATCTAAGCGGTCCTTGACATAGTACTACGGAATATCATGAGACCGCGCATTGCCTTTCTTGTGTGGTGAGTACTACATACTGATGCGCTTAAAAAGGTTTGCTGATTTATGAACAGCCATCAACACAGTATTACTTGTTTTAGGTGACAAATCCTTTGCCATGGTAAGTTAGTGATAGTTTGATATTGTACAAGGCCAGGGACCCTGGGTCTCTAGTGCTTGTCCTGCGACATCGCATAATTACCAGATTGTCGTACTATCGCGAGCGTAAAACGCAACGCAATGCAAGCCCAGCTGGTCTGACTCAGTACTGTTGGGGCCTGACTCCAACGGGGCAGTGCAGAATTCAAAATTGGTATCGCAGCTGCCCGTGACGCAATAGCCCGGGTCATAATTAACCACACCCATATAAGATCACAACGTGTTCTATCTCCACATTGCACCACAGTCAAGCACCCCTACTTTAACCCTTATCTACTCTCGCACCGCGCCTACTTTTTATCTTCCCTACCACACCAACGCAATCACCGCATCGTTGTCCACCCCCTCATACTCACATCTAGCCAGTACATCATTACCGGACGATGAATTCATACGCCTTTCCGTCCTCCCATTCGCCCTACAGTACCCATCAGACTGTTGCCTACCCCACTTCTCCACACTCGCAACACGGTCATGGGAGTTACAACTACGGGACTCCCCTGAGGCGGGCATCTACCGGGCATACCTACGCATCTAGCCCACAATACGGGTACCCCCCTGTAGTCCAGGCGCCGCAGACTACTCAATACTTGTCTGTGCCTAACTCTCACCACCGCAGCAGGAGTCAGAGCAGGCACAGTCATAGCAGACCCAGAGCCAACAGCCACAGTCATCACGGGCATGGGCACGGGCACGGGCACGGATACAGTACAACTGCTACCTACCCAGTCGCATACGCAACATCTGCTCCCGTATACAGCGTAAGTCCAAATCGTGCTTTGTCTCAGTCTAATAGCTAATGACGTATATATTGGCTATTTTTAGCAACCTAGCTCAGGACATCATCGCTCTCATTCCACGTCACACAGACACCGTTCCCACTCGCGCCCTGCTCATTCTTACGCAGGCGGTGGTGATTATCACAGAGGTCGATCAGTATCAATCGGTGACCGCTTTCGGAATTTCCTTGGAATGGAGCCCTCATCGAACTCTTACTACAATTCCTACGGAAATCGAGGGCACGGGCACCACAACTCTTACGGTGGTATGAGAGATGAAAGAAGACCGAGGAAACACAGTGGCTATGTGGACGAACACGGGAGAGAAGTGGATAGCCGTGGACGAATGATCCATCGCTTTTAATTTAGGCAGCTGTTTTGACAATGTAGTTTATGTACCCAAAGGGCAGGACCCAGTGTCATCTGACTTGATCTTGTTTGAACTATGATTTATACATTACTAGCTTTTGTGTACAGTGAAGTCTGAGTTCATGAATGCTAATTGTCCATATACATGCACTATAGTAACAATGATCATGAGGTAGCTAGTAGAATGTACAATGAAAATGTCAAACAACGATAGACATGCCAAGCAAAGATTACAGAACAGCTGATAATGTACCGTTAACGAAAGCACTAAAATTCCTTGTATGAAAAGCTGACGACATGCTCTGAAATGAAACGATAATCCATTAGGATGCAGCAGACGCCTTCTCCGCTGCCTTTGACCACATGTCCAACTGATCGAGCAGCTTGGATACAGACTGCATAATTTGCAATCGAGCGTGAATTTGATTAGGGACGTCCTGTGTGCCTTCCCAGAGGACGGCAAGCGACACTTCAATCTACATAGAGTATGAACGATGCCCACGCTGAGATGAAACCGAAGAGCCTGACCTTTTCCGCAAGTTCTCGAAGGGACTCCTTGAGAGCCTTCCCGATAGTCTCAGCCGCAGTCGACAGCCGACCCATCAAGACCTCAGCTCCACCATCGAATGCATCGTGCTTATGCCCATCAACGTAGTTATGGAATATAGCCTGCATTCAATCAGAAGAGGTTTTGAAATAATGCCTTGTGACAAACCTTTTGTCGCGCGACGCTTCCACTGCCTCGCTCTTGCAAAGCGAGATTGTAGCCATCCGTCAGTTCATTTTGAACATGAGGGGCAAGACAACGTGATATCTCCTTCTGCTCCTTTCCTAGCGCTTCCTTCACAACCTCCATGGTTTGTACTAATGCATGACGCGCCTCCTCTTGCGAAACAGAGCTTTGTGCATGTACGTGGTCTTTTAGTCCTGCCGCTGCGCTGGCCTCTACATCGGCGATTAGTTTATTGATGCATGTCATGATGGCATCCGATAGTGAGGCGAATAGATCAGACTCGAAGAGTGTCGACCAAGAAGAAGCAATGTTTCGAGTGAATGGCGTGACAAGTTCGACATTCAGATCTCGACGCCAGGATCCGTGACGACGAAGGGCTAATATTGAGTACAGTCAGCGAGAACTCGCATGCGAACTAGGACACCCACTGGCTCGATAAGTCGCCCAGTGCATGGACGCGGCAAACTCGTCAACGTGCTGAACCGCATCCTCAGCAGCCTATCGACGCAACATCAGATGGGGTAGTTACCATAATGTAGTACTTACATTGGCTGCTCCCACTCGACATTTATCTTCAAGACCATCACGGAACAAGTCTTGCAAATCCGAGACGCTTTTTTCAACATGTATACCAAATTCCTGCGAGGAATAAGAAATATGAGCTGTATAGAAATCACATGTCAACGCACTTTCACAAGCCGAGGAGTCACTCCTATGGGTTCGCCGCGAGCATCCACCTTCAGGGATGACTGATTGTTCATCGAGAAGAGTCTAGCATCCATGAGTGCCCTGGACATTGTACCTCGATATGGTTGGAAGAGATGGACGCTCATAGGATCAGGCGAACCATGCCAATGAGGCATGTCTTCATCTTCATCTTCGTCTTCATCGTCATACATCCCCTCCCCACCCTGTGGTGTCGACTCCCATTTTTCACGAAGAGATTCACGGTCTGCAATAGTCACATCACCAATATCATCGACATAAACCCGCACTGAGTTCGCAAATGTCTTCAAGTGAGTGTGAAACTGCTTTGCAGCGCGTGACCGGCTACTGATGGTCAATTTGTGGCACCATTGCCGTAGGGAAGGAATCCCAGTATCTTCGAGGTTGGAGAAACATGATGGGTCCCCGTCACCCTTGACTTGTCCCGTGATGCGGACGTAGTCACGAGATGAGCAGGTGAACACAGGAAGATCGATGTCATCATAATCTGAGTAAAACATATTTTTAGCGAGCATTTTCAGGATAAGATGGGGCTCACTGCGTAGATTATGAGTCGGATCAAAAGAGTCTGGGTTTCGCTCCTCGGCAGCGGCGTCTGTGTTTTGTGAATTAGCCAATTCTTTAAAGATGAGAACTCAACCAACCGTCAAGATCTTTCAAGCCAACGCGAAAATCTTCTTTTAAAACATCGCGGGAGAACTGGTTGACGCCGGGTGAGAAATGTGGTGGGGAATTTAACAGTGAGACAAACCTCCGAACGCTTTAGAGAACAGAATGCGTTCTTGTCGCGCTGCGCTTTCGTCGTCTTCTTTTTGAGGTTGCTGAGGGCATCTACGGCATCCTTGCGTGCCTTGCGTGCATTGTTGAGTTGTTCGCGTTCAACTTTAATAGCTTCTTTGGCGTCGCCAATCTTCTCCTGGAGAACCTCGACCGTGACATTCTCTTCTGACTCGTCCGGTGTATCCTCCTCCCCATCTGAGTCGCCCTCTTCCTCTTCATCGTCATCGTCATCGTCATCGTCATCTTCATCGTATGACCCTTCATCGTCATCGTCCACATGAATGTCGTCATTGAGATAATCATCAATATCATCCATCTCAAAATCGTCGTCGTCGTCGTCCTCCCCAAAATGCTTGTGGCGCTTAGGTGACCCAGATTTCCCCCTACGAGTATTCTTTCGCTTCTTGCCCGCGCTCTGGGCCTTCTTGTGTGCCGTTGTGGTCAACCGTGGTGTAAATGTCTCGCCGTTCTCCAATGCCGTTTTGTGTTGCTCATACTCTGCTAGAAAAGCTCGAACGTCCTTGAGCTGCTTGTCGATAGCTGTGAAATTTAGCTGAGTACATTGTCGCATGAACGAAACGATATTCGCATGCCTACCTTTCATAGAAGACTCCGCGGTAGTCTTCTTCTTTTTGAAGTCAGCAGTCTCCTCTTTGTATTGCTCAATGCGGCCCTCGATCTCCTCTAGCTCGGGGTCATCCTCAATACCCAAGGCAGGGATAACCTCAGAACAAGATATATCATCACACTTGCTAGCTGTGCCAACAGTTTAAGTGACAATCAGTCCAAACAAAAGAGCTGCAACAAACCAATGAACGTGATCGTGTGGGCATCATAGCTGACCAAATCAATAAGACACTCGCGACCGAAGTCAAGGACAGATCACTCACTTGCCGTCTGATGAACGAAAAGGGACCGTCGTAGACAGTAAGCTACCTGAGAGTGCTGGATGGGAAGAACTTACCCACTGAAAATAATTGTTAGTCTATCACCAAGGGTTGGAGATAAAGAACGTACTCATCAGTTGCAGTTTGAAAGCTTCACCAAGAAGATCTAATTCAAAAGCATCAGAATCACGACACAGGTGCTGAGTCGATACAAATACCTCTGGCGGTCTTGTCATCCACTGCACGGGTGATAGGTGCCAGAATCCAGATGCAGTTGCACTTCTTCATGTAGTCCTTTGCGATGCTATTCCTTGCTGCGTTAGCGTCGGCAACACCAGGCAAATCAACTAAAATGGCGCCCGTGGAAAGAGCCTGGGCGTTACACCGCACATTGACTTGACGAATGAGGGGCCATAGAGCTGGGCCGTGATCTTTCTTTTTGGTCTCTTTGTTCTTGTCCTTGGTGAGGATACTCATGAGCGAGTTATCAGGAACTTTGGTCTTATCCTTCTTGCCACCTCGTTTCTGGTCCTTAGAATCGATATATTTTGCAATCTCCTGGGCGAATATCGTCGAATTCTTCGCCGATATTTTCTTCGTAGTGCCCAAGACGTTAGTAATATCTATGCGAAGCGTTAGCATAATTTGGCATCTGCGTTGAGAACATTTACTTTTATCGCGAGCCAAAATTTGGTCAACCGTCAGGTGAATGAGTTGCTCTTGGGCAATGTGTGGATAGACAGCGTGAACCTGACAATGAATCAGACCCCGACATACCAAAGAGCTCTGATTGTCCGTACCTTGTGCCAAGCAACACCCGAATCACTCCGTAGGTCAGTAGTACGTTTCAAATTACCATCCTCGTCCACAAGATCATCGAGTAGAACAGCGAGCTCTGCTCTCCACTCAGCTTCTGAAAGGAATGAGACGTCCGCGTTGATGGTAGGCGCGGCATGATATGCGATTTCCGTGACCACAGCGGTGCATGCTACAAGTGGGTTGAGCAACCATGATTCCCAACAGCGAAGGGTCTCGCTTCACCTCTCATACCACTTGTTGGGACAATATTATCTAAACCGAATTTAGTATAAAGAGACATGAACACTAATTTAGCTTACCGTCCAAGATCGCATTTAGTATCGAAGACTTTCCGGCCCCAGTCGCTAAAGAGGACTTCGGTGGACATGCATACTGGGACTCATAATTACGCACCTCCACAAACGGCTATCATTGTTGTAGGAGCACCTTGACTAAGGAGACTGTGACAGAGTTGTCATTGCTGTCTTCAGGCAATGCTAATTACGTACTTATCAATTTCACGCAGCCAAACATCCTTTCGAAGCTTGCTGCCAAGCTCGAGTTTGTTGATTCCGGCCTTTAGCGTCTTTACCATACCCAGACCTGCTTGAAGAGCAGCTTCAGGGGTGTATGAAATATTGTCGGCAGAGTCGTGGAGCTCATATAACATTGGCTCGTGCACCCTTTGTTCGTGTGGCAGCACTGGTTCCCGTTTGAATTTTTTGACATCAGGAGCTGAAGAAAGATTATGTTGACCGTCGAGGGTAATGTTGCTTGGGGCTGTAGTGCCCCTATCTGACAGCTGGAAAATTTCGACGTCAATTCGCATTCGTGGGTATTCTAATGCCTCTCACAACAGGTTTTGACTCAATTGGTTCGGCCTTGACGGTTGGGGCGAGGGTCGATGTTTTCGAATTGTGACGCGTAGACTCAAAAGACGGAACTGCATGCAGTTCTTCTGGTTCTGGTTTGATAAAAATTCCACGTGCGGACTGGAATCGCGACGAAGAGGGGCTAAATGGCAAGACCAAAGGATAGAAGAATCCTAGACTCACCGACGCGCTTCCCATCATTCTATTTTCTTTCGAGCTCATCTTTTGATCAGCTACGTGATATTGAAGACCACGCTCTCTTTTGGGTGAGAAGAAAAGTGACAGTATTTCACTAATCGTCTGTACGTGAGGGGCGGAGTTTTATTTTATGCGGTCACGCGTGACACTTCGCGTTCGTGACAGGTTATATAAGGACTCCATACCAGTAGCGTACACATGTGGAAAATTATCTGCTCGAACCTTCAACTATCATAATCTATGCGGCCGCCAATGGTCTTTCAAGCGTTTTGCAACATCCACCTCAGCTGATAACAAACCACTCCCAAATTTCGTGTGTTCATGGTCATGCGGATCGTGCCAAGGCGGAACGTACGGGGGAATGCCAAGTAACATCGCACGACCTTGCAAGAACGGGCGCAGTGAGCAGGAATCATCGTCATATGCCTCGGCTGTCGCGTGAGAGCGGGTGGGTGACGAGAAAGAATCATGATGCAATGAAGATAGTTCCAGCGCGAGGTCTGAGTCTTCGTAGTCATCCACTTCTTGCGTATACTCGATGAGCTTCCTAAGACCTTGACATGGCTCGTCAAGTACGACCATTTCATCCGCTGAGATATCGTGCAGTCCGTCGCTCGAGTAGGCCTGCACCAGAGAGTAGAAGCTGGGTTCATCGACAAGATGCGGAGGTTCCAGATATACCAGGTCTTGGTCTCGAATATCATCATCATCATGGCCAGAGTCCCCTCCAAAGAAGTTGGTGGTACATGCGTCTGGAGCATACCATGCCGAAATGACATCCTCGTTTGAGCGACTATACTGTGTGATAGAGTGACCTCGATAAGTTGGCATGAGGTCGTCAGCTAAGGGAAGAAAATGCTCCTCGGGGATACCATGGATACGTAAAGGACTGCTGTCGACCATAACATTCAAAGGAGCGGCGCGACGCGTTGTGCTCGTGTCGTGCGGGTGAGAAACAGAGAGGTGTGCGTCACGCGGATTGCAGCCCGATATCACACCACAAGAGTTAGTTATAGGATGTGGTTGATCGAACGTCGGTGACACATGCTCCGTGTCATGCACGGCAAAATACTTTGATGTCAGAAGCTCGACAGAAGGGTTCAGACGGCCAAGTCGTTTGAGGCCAACCTGAGATGCGGAATGAGAGGGATGGATAGACGATCCACCGTCGAGATCATAGATGGTCGCGATGACAGACGCTGAAACCGATGACAAGATTTCGTCGGGTATACAGTCATGAGACATTTCCTTCACGGGTGTTTTTATGAGGGAAGAATGTATCACCTGGCCCTCGGATGGCAGCTCTTGATCGTGCCAATTGGCCATACGGGGATCAAGTACTAGCGTTCCGGTTATGGATTTGCCTGGCTGAGGACAAAAACCGTCTGAAGAAGGACATTTGCTTTGAAGCTCGATATCCCAAGGCTCTGATATAGCTGTACTTCCCCTAGGAAGGTCCGGACTCGCAGAATGGTTGCTTGTGGATTGAGTCGATTTCCTGTCTTTGCGATGATTCGTGATCTTGATCTTCTTCACAGCAGATGGTGGTCGAGAGGAAGAGTCAGATACAACCGACTCATCCACCGGAGATTCGTATTGCTTGGTTGTCACGGTTTTGTTGAGAAACGCTATTTCCGAAAATAATTTATGGGCTGAACTATGATTAGCGATTAAGGAGCAGAGAACGTAGGTTTTAATGTTACCTGGCTCCTTCGTTTTGTATATCTTCGTCTTGGCGGATGATTTCCCCTTGTTGAACACTCCGAGAGAAGCCAATGGTTTTAACTAAGGTCATGTTGAAACCTAGGGGTTAGATAGACCAGACCGGCAGTACTCACCGTGAGGCGGTTTTTACCGACATTAGTCGCTGAGAATCCGTGCAAGAGTGCGAGACCTGCAGTGCCCGAATGTTTCTTTCCCTTTTTACGAGCAACTTTCTTATATTCCTTTTCACTTGCTGATGGGCTAACATGCACTGCAATATTGGTATTAGGTTTCACGATATCACGCTTTACGCGTTTCCGTTCTCGACGCTCGCTCAGTCCTTTGCAAAATTGTTCAGAGAAGATAGATTCATGATATTAGCGAGAACTCACTAGCCTCCCGTTCTTCGTCGGAACCAAATGGGACTTCCGCCTTCTTACGCTTCCGCTTGGATGAATCACGTCGAGCGGTTATGAGCGGTGCACGCACTGAGTCTTTGTTTTCCTTTATAGAAGTTTCAACATTAAGTGCCTTCTGAGTCTTTCGGGTCTTTTGCGTTGCCTTGGTGGGAAGCCCTACGACCGAGCGCTTGTCCGTACTAAGGATATTAAGCCCAGCCACACGGGGAACGAGTATAGGCGTGTCGAACCCAAATTTCAGCTTTTTCGTTTCTTCATCACGCGCCCTTGTCGGTGTCCCGTTGGTTATTTTTGAGGGGGGATCGATTGAAGAATATGAATGTACATAGACTTTCTGACGGTCGAGGTATGCTTGGATAAAATCATTCTTTGATGACTTATCCATGGTGTCGCGAGCCTTCGGAACGATGCTAGTAACTAGTATAACTTTGATAGAAGTGCTTACGTACAAATCAGGGTAGCGAAATGGGCGTTGTCATTTAACGTTTAACCGGGAGCCTCGGAGTCCAACGAAAATGAAACGCATGATTCCAGGCGCGACTCGGATGCGGGGATCTAGCATTATTATGTACAGAACTATTCAACGCCGCTTAGTTCTATCCGAGCCATCAAACAGCCAGCCATCGCCGCTGTTTGCTTGTCTTCGAGAGGTATGTCTTTTTATTTTATTTTATTCCCAAGTTGGCGAGCCGGATCATGAACACCAACCTACAGTCCACCTGTTCCTCGTTTGAAGATGGGTTCCAGCCGGAAACGAATAGCTGAAACGAATGTCACGGACAAATGTCCCAAACGTTCAAAACTTTATCAGTCAGATGCGATGTCACCGCCTTTGACTGTCACTGTACGAGGCCGGACTTTCGAGCCGACACCTGTGTTCGATACGTTTTGGCGTTTCGCTGCAGAAAGACACGCTATCACCGAGAAGCGTCTCGAAGGCCTCCCCGCCCCGTATGTATCCACTCATTCCTCTTTGGTAGGCCCGACTCAATTTATTTGGCAGGTGGACGGACGACCCCATTTTACAAAGTTATCCGTTCTGCAACACGTATCGGGTTCTAGACCGAGTGAGCCAATACTTGGTCACAGAAGTCATCGAAAAAGGTTCTCAAGATCCCACCGAACTTGTGTTTCGAATTCTGCTTTTCAATACTTTCACGAGCATCAAAACGTATGAAACCCTGCGAGGTGCGATCACACCTTTCACTTGGTCCACCTACGAGCGAGCCGATTATGAAGGCGTCCTGCGTCGTTTGTACGATGACAAAGTCCCGTTATACACTGGGTCTTTTCAAAAGCCTGCACCTAGTCTAGGCTTTGTGGAAAACTTCATGAACCATCTCGTTCTCATGGAGGTCTTGATGAAAAACTTACCCATGCGGTGCACAGAGGCCGAGTACGTCGCAGACATCTTTGAATGGCTGTGCACCTTTAAGAGCATGGGAGACTTCACTGCGTACCAGCTAGTGCTGAACCTCTCCTATTCGAGTGTTTTGAACTTCTCAGACTACGATTTTGTGGTGGTCGGGGTGGGTTCACGTCGCGGCCTTCAACGCTGTTTCAAAGGCCAAATCCCTCACGCATGCGAGATTGACATAATCCGATGGATGCAATCCACGCAGAGCGATCATTTCTCGCGCCTCAAACTGGAGTTTAATGGCTTGGGGCCAAAGGCTCGTCCTATTATGCTGTGCGATATCGAGCACACCTTATGCGAGATCGATAAATACATGAGGAAGATCGGCACACCACCCCGCCGCCCCTTTCACCCATCTGGCGCACTTCCAAAGATGCGTCTTCCTAAGGCATGGACGCTTCCTGCACGGCAATCGCTCCGTATCAAATGCCCGAAGGAAGCGAAAGCCGAGTTCATCGAGAAGTTTGTCGTGTCTTGGATTCAATCACACCGAGAAGTGGAAGGCGAAAGGGAATTTTTAGTTTACTGGGAGGGGTACAGCTCCGATGACGCTTCGTGGGAACCTGAAGATATGCTCGCCGACGATGCACCCAATGCCATCAAGGCATATTGGAAGCGTGTACGAGGTACGTGCTATCTCATCTGCGACCATGTGCACCTACTGACGTTTTTATAGCCTGTTGAAAGGCATGTATTCTTTCTTTAGCACTTTGTAAATGTCGTGTTGCCGTGTGCTTTATCATCACCACGACCGCTCGTACGACACAATTAGCGTATTCGGTGGTGGCAGTCCAGCATCTCGGGAATGTGAATTTGTCCATATACTAAGAAATACATTGATACATATATATGCACTTCTTAACATGTGTATACGAAGAAAATGTTCTGTCTATCAGTGAGGTCAGCAAATGCGTGACGCTCTCTTTCCTTTTGCACATCCTCATCAGTCCAACCTCGTTGCGCCTTTAAGTCCGCCAGATGAGCTTTTCGCTTTCTGTTCAAGCGGACATTGATCCAGCGTAGTAAAAACGAGACGAACAGTTGCACGATCAACAAAACCATAATCGCAGTCTTTCCTGGAATATAAGCTGGCGCATCTTTAGGCTGGAATATCTCAGTCCCGATGATATTGCCAATGCTGAAAGTGGCCATCGTCATCGCGTTAATCGTCACCTAAGCACCGCACAAATAAACTGAGGAAATAAAGGAGGATGAGTGACATCAAACATACCTTCTTGGTATGGCCACCGGTGTTACTTGCGTTGTATGCGTAGATCGTGGAAAGAGCGCTGCCAAAGGTACCGATGATGTATGTCGCTGCCGCGAAAATCAGATTTCATGAAAGCATCAAATAGTGACAACTGCACGAACCAAAGAGCAGAACGCCCTTGTTAGAGGATCCGTTCATGCCAATAAGGATGGCTATTTCTCACTTTCAGCCGACGTCCCATCTAAAATTTACGAACAGCATACCTGCGCCGACAATGGTGGGAATCAATGCAAACACGATGGGGGTCATCCGCTCGTTCTAAGTTGGTTGAGAAAATTAATTGTTGAGAAAATTTTAGGCCCTCTACCTTCTTATCAGCATACCATCCACAGAAAATCACCATTGCGGAACCAATGATTCCCCCAGGGGTGGAAAGAATCAGGGTTTGCTTTGATCTAGGAGAAATGCTATTAGTGAGAAGCAAAGACAGCACGGTTTACGCACGTATATCCGAAGCTTTTGACGATGATGTTACTGACTGTAGTCAAGAACTTAACTTCCACTGGGCTAATTTCTGTTGATGCGACTTACAGTTACTCAAGGCTCCGTTGGGGATACTCGCTACAAAGTCTGCATCAGCCGCCTCTCGTGCAGATCCAAGTAAAAGGTTTTACTCAATATCGTTGACAAAACAACAAGCCATGTGCGAGGATCCGCGAGGGCTTCGATGACCTGGTCCTTCTTGAATTTCTTGTTTTCCGTACCTCCTTGATCGTTCCGGACACGTTCAAGAGCAGCAATCCGCTCCTCCTTCGTCAGCATGGAAGCATTGACTGGGGAATCTGGTAGCCAGATCAAGACGATTATGCCAATAACGACCGCAAGACCGCCAAGTAGTATATAGATGATCTTGTAGGGCGGTAGATTATTGCCGGCATAGAACGAGATACCCTGGAAGAGTGTAAATCATTCATGTTGCGTCCCTTGGTGCATTGAATACTACTCACATATGCCACGAATCCACCAAACACTTGGGTTAGCCCATTCTAAACAAAGTTAAGGGCAATGCTACTTTTGAATGCAATACAGTCGCACCATGATGTAGAACCATGCAATACGTTGAGCCTTATGACCGTCAGTCAAAAGGTACTATATTCTACACGAAGTTTTTCACGTACCTGTTCATCCTTCTTGTAAAACATTGAGATAATGAGAATGAGACACGGCGCGACACAAGACTCGCACATTCCTGGCCATCTCGGGTTTGTGTCTTGTTTCTATGAAATATGAAGAGGCGTACCCAGAAGGAATCTGAGAGCAAAGAAGGCTCCGAAGTTGTCTGTTGAGGCATGCAGCATGAGCAATATCCCCCATACAACAATGTTGCCGCCTTCAAAGGGTTAGCTGATTTGCAGTTGATGCCATCGTTACTTGATTTCGCTCTCACCAAGATACTTGGCTAACCGAAGTTTCTGCGATATATAGACGGTCGGAAACTCCCAAAATAGGTAACCTGTGTTGAACAGTTTGAACTTCGTAAGAGTTCACAGAATCAAAAATCCTACCCAGGTAGAAGGCCATGGATACCAAGTTGTAGTTCTAGAGTCACATTAGCATGTACTGGATATCATGAACATTATAACTTGCCTGGTTCACGATCGGGAAGCCCATGATACTGCGACATTATCAATATTCATGTTACCCAACATCGCTGCGAAACAATGCTCGCCTTGCATAGTTCAGTGAGGTCTTGTCCCTGTTCAAGGATAAGCACAAAATATTATCATGTGCATTAAACGACGAACAAATATTGACAGAAGTAGACAGCCGCTGAAATGGGGGGGATGACAAGGTCCTGTAGATCCGTCAATGTTCAGGTCAAAATCGCCAAAGTGCAAAAAAAATAGATACCAGCTTGCGCCTGAGCTTTCGGTTGTACTCCTCACTGAAGTGCACCGCTGCTTGTGCACCGACGAGCTGAAGAGCCGCATCACCGTCAGAAGTATCGAGTGAATCTAGCCCGAGCTTGTCATCATAGTTCTCGAGCTGCGAGCTCTTCTCGACTTCGTCCAGATTCTTCACTGCACTAGTTTCGGAAGACATTGCACTGGCGCGTAATCAAGACGCTCGAACATCACACTAGCTTCTTATCCTCTCAAGCGTCTCACAGGAAGAAATGCATCCGCGACGGATTGGTGTTATTGCTGTGCCCGCAAGATAAGTGACAAACCAATAGTTTCAACGAGCCGTGTTGCAATTGGGGTAACAGATAAGCAAGCCAACATGTTCCACGAGGAAAGCGAGAGATAAATCACCCGACAAGACAAAGACAGACTCACGGCAACCGGCAAGATAAATTTATTCAGGGGCTTCTCACGAACGCCGCGTAGAGACTTGACGGTTTCTAAAGATAAAATAGAGTAGATATGAGTGTATGATACGAAAGTTCATAAAATAATACAGAAACAAGTAACGCAACACGGCTATAGTTTCTGAATAACGATGGCTGAAGCTGCTCCACCCTAGAAAACTACCGTGAGTGCCATAACACACGAAATTGCAAGTTACTTACCCCATTGCAAATGCCTGCTGCACCATATTCCCCAGACTTCAGGGCGTGAACCAGGGACACCACAATGCGAGAACCCGAACTTCCGATCGCATGGCCAAGGGCAACAGCACCACTGTCAAGTGACGTTAGCAGATGCAACGTCTACGTGAAGTCGTAAGACTTGCCCATTAACATTAACTTTTGCAGGGTCAATTTGCAGGAGCTTTTCAGTGATACGGACAACAACCGAAAAGGCTTCATTAATCTCAAAACGTGCAATGTCATCGA